ACGGACGCGTCGATCAAGATCGTCCCATAGATGCTTGATCGGGTTCAGATCAGACGTTTAGGAAAGCCAGGGAAGATCACTGACGTTTGCATTGCCGCGATAGGCACTTGCCACACGAGCTGTGTCAGGTCGAGCGTTCCCGTGTTGAAACAGCTCCCTCTGGCGGTTAAAAAGTGGGAGGAGATGAGGTCGCAGGATTTTGTCCATGTAGCGATTCGAACCATCACTAGCTTTGATCTACCCGTGTAGGACATGGCTCCCCACACCATGACGCTTTCTCCACCAAATATGTCCACCTGTCGACAGCAATTCGGCGCAAAACGTTCGTGTTGGCGTTGATAGACACGATGTCTCCCATCCCGTCGTTCCTAATGTCTGTAACCTGTTGCACCATTGGACACCAGTTGTGCCAGGACAGGTCCAACTTTTGGTCGATATGCTCGAATTCCCACTTCGCTCATACAATTTCTGATGGTTTGGTCGGAAATTCTTCGAAGACCAGGCACCTGTCCTGCAGTGTCCGCTGCTATAGCAAACCGGTGACGGAGGTGAAATACCCGGATGAATCGGTACTGAGCAGGAGTGGCCACTCTTGGTCTTCCACTTCTGGGACGATCTTGGGTCGAATTGAAGCTTGGTGCTGTGGTGGACGTTGAAGTGTCTTGCAACTGCAGAGTGGGACTCCCCTGCTTCCTAATGCCCAAGACCGCCTCCGTGGTGGAGTGGTTAGAGCGTCCACACGGAGAGCGGAAGGTCGCGGGTTCAATCCCCGACCGCGTCATACCAAAAGACATTAAAATATGGTACTTGTTGGTCCCTGCCTGGCGCTCGGCATTAATGGGTACAACAAGGACTGGTCGGCTCGGAGTCAATATAATGTGTCTGAGTGGGGTATTCATGCTTCACTGCGGCATGGTATCTCAGTGGGCAAGCACTATAAAACCAGCTTCAGTCTGGGCTAGTACAAGCAGCCGCACATACACACATACACACGAATGCACGTCGTGATATGAGCAAATTATTCTCAAGCACGACGTTAAACCCAATTTCACCTCACCTCACCTCACCTCACCTCACCTCACCTCACTTCACCTCACCTCACCTCACCTAATGCCCAATGGCCACACTTCAGTCAGTAGTATTAAATCTTGGCATTTTTCATCTTCGTCTACGTCGTAAGTTTCGTAATGAAATGATGTATTTGGTTTGGCCTTTTATAGTCAATGTCTCTACTCATGTCCGACCTATTGCAGGTGCATTACATGGAAAACATTTTCTGCATGCACTTATCATGTATCGTTTTCGTTTTCAAACACATTCTGGGATGTGTTTGCGTGCAATCCACAACAACCACGACCTGATTAACGGGATTCAAACATAGGAATTGTCTTAATGACGATTGCTGTCAAAATATATCGAAATGAACGGCTGAAAACAAAATGCGTTTCTTTCTTTTTTAAGAGTGTATACCAATTTGCTTCCACAAGAGGAATATTGTATCTGATTTACGGTGTGTACGAGACGCCAATGTTGTGTTGATCATATGTTAAAAAACAACTGGATATCAAGGCGAGGCCTACTTCCAAGCTTGGCCAATGTTGTTGCTGCAAGATGAATATTATTTTTACTGAATATATTCCTTACCACTACTCTTATAGTCTTTAGCGCCACCGTAATTGTTCTCGCGCTGAATGCTGCATGTATTGTGTACTCTAGTATGTATGTCATGTTACACCCAGTTGCAATAGTACTCCCCGCTCAGAAGCTGGAAGTATTGCTGTAAGCTATAAAAGTCGACTGAAAAATTTATAGGGGTTCTCACCTTCTCCTGTTTCTGATCATCTACTCAGATGTCAAAGTTGAACATAGATTTCCTGGATTTCGTCTTCTGTTTTATTCTTTTATACTATTGTAAAAAGATGAAATCCAGGAAATTCTTTACCTTCATCAAATAGCATCTTCTAAAATGCCAATCAAAGAAAAAATAGTGTTGTAGGTTATAAAGGTCGACTGAAACATTAATAGTTTTCACCTACCCCTGTTTCTGATCATCATCCCCCCAGTTGGAATAATACTCAATAGATGTAAGTAGTGCTGTAGGTTATAACACTCGACTGAAACATTGATAGTTCTCACATTCTCATGCTTCTGATAATCAACCATCCACTTTTGGTATAATATTCAATAGATGTAAGTATTGCTGTAGGTTATAAAACTCGACTGAAACATTGATAGTTCTCACCTTCTCATGCTTCTGATAATCATCCACCCATTTTTGGTATAATACTCAATAGATGTAAGAAGTGCTGTAGGTTATAAAACTCGACTGAAACATTGATAGTTCTCACATTCTCATGCTTCTGATAATCATCCACCCATTTTTGGTATAATACTCAATAGATGTAAGTATTGCTGTAGGTTATAAAACTCGACTGAAACATTGATAGTTCTCACCTTCTCATGCTTCTGATAATCATCCACCCATTTGGAATAATATTCATTATCTTTAAGTATTGCTGTAGGTTATAAAACTCGACTGATACATTAATAGTTCTCACATTCTCTTGCTTCTGGTAATCATCCACCCATTTTTGGAATAATATTCATTAGATTTAAGTAGTGCTGTAGGTTATAAAAGTCGACTGAAACATTGATAGTTCTCACATTCTCATGCTTCTGATGATAATCATCCACCCATTTTTGGTATAATACTCAATAGATGTAAGAAGTGCTGTAGGTTATAAAACTCGACTGAAACATTGATAGTTCTAACATTCTCATGCTTCTGATAATCATCCACCCATTTTTGGTATAATACTCAATAGATGTAAGTAGTGCTGTAGGTTATAAAACTCGACTGAAACATTGATAGTTCTCACATTCTCATGCTTCTGATAATCATCCACCCATTTTTGGTATAATACTCATTAGATGTAACTAGTGCTGTAGGTTATAAAACTCGACTGAAACATTTGATAGTTCTCACATTCTCATGCTTCTGATAATCATCCACCCATTTTTGGTATAATATTCATAGATGTAAGTAGTGCTGTAGGTTATAAAACTCGACTGAAACATTGATAGTTCTCACATTCTCATGCTTTTGATAATCATCCACCCATTTTGGAATAATACTCATTAGATGTAACTAGTGCTGTAGGTTATAAAACTCGACTGAAACATTGATAGGAGTTCTCACATTCTCATGCTTTTGATCATCATCCACCCATTTGGAATAATATTCAATAGATGTAAGTAGTACTGTAGGTTATAAAACTCGACTGAAACATTGATAGTTCTCACATTCTCATGCTTCTGATAATCATCCACCCATTTTTGGAATAATATTCATTATCTTTAAGTATTGCTGTAGGTTATAAAACTCGACTGAAACATTGATAGTTCTCACCTTCTCATACTTCTGATCATCATCCGCCCATTTGGAATAATATTCATTATCTTTAAGTATTGCTGTAGGCTATAAAAGTCGACTGATATATTAATAGGAGCTCTCACCTCTTACTTCTGGTCATCATCCACCATTTGGAATAATATTCATTATCTTTAAGTACTGCTGTAGGCTATAAAAGTCGACTGAAACATTGATAGTTCTCACATTCTCATGCTTCTGATAATCATCCACCCATTTTTGGTATAATACTCAATAGATGTAAGAAGTGCTGTAGGTTATAAAACTCGACTGAAACATTGATAGTTTTCACATTCTCATGCTTCTGATAATCATCCACCCATTTTTGGTATAATACTCAATAGATGTAAGTAGTGCTGTAGGTTATAAAACTCGACTGAAACATTGATAGTTCTCACATTCTCATGCTTCTGATAATCATCCATCCATTTGGAATAATATTAATTATCTTTAAGTATTGCTGTAGGTTGATATAAAACTCGACTGAAACATTAATAGTTCTCACATTCTCATGCTTCTGATAATCATCCACCCATTTTTGGTATAATACTCAATAGATGTAAGTAGTGCTGTAGGTTATAAAACTCGACTGAAACATTGATAGTTCTCACATTCTCATGCTTCTGATAATCATCCACCCATTTGGAAAAATATTCATTATCTTTAAGTATTGCTGTAGGTTATAAAACTCGACTGAAACATTGATAGTTCTCACCTTCTCATGCTTCTGATAATCATTCACCCATTTGGAATAATATTCATTATCTTTAAGTATTGCTGTAGGCTATAAAAGTCGACTGAAACATTAATAGGAGTTCTCACCTTCATACTTCTGATCATCATCCACCCATTTGGAATAATATTCATTATCTTTAAGTATTGCTGTAGGTTATAAAACTCGACTGAAACATTGATAGTTCTCACCTTCTCATGCTTCTGATCATCATCCACCCATTTGGAATAATATTCATTATCTTTAAGTATTGCTGTAGGTTATAAAAGTCGACTGAAACATGAATAGGAGTTCTCACCTTCTCATACTTCTGATCATCATCCATCCAGTAGGAATAATGATCAGTAGATGTAATAGTGCTGTAGGTTATAAAGGTCGACTGAAAACTTAATATGTGTTCTCACCTTCTCATACTTCTGATCATCATCCGCTCAGTAGCTGGAATAATATTCCTTACCTTTAAGTATTGCTGTAGGCTATAAAAGTCGACTGAAACATTAATAGGAGTTCTCACCTTCTCATACTTCTGATCATCATCCACCCATTTGGAATAATATTCATTATCTTTAAGTATTGCTGTAGGTTATAAAAGTCGACTGAAACATGAATAGGAGTTCTCACCTTCTCATACTTCTGATCATCATCCATCCAGTAGGAATAATGATCAGTAGATGTAATAGTGCTGTAGGTTATAAAGGTCGACTGAAAACTTAATATGTGTTCTCACCTTCTCATACTTCTGATCATCATCCGCTCAGTAGCTGGAATAATATTCCTTACCTTTAAGTATTGCTGTAGGTTATAAAAGTCGACTGAAACATGAATAGGAGTTCTCACCTTCTCATACTTCTGATCATCATCCACCCAGTTAGAATAATACGCAGTAGCTTCAGCTGGTGTTATCCCCTTCCTGAACGAATTATCAACTTCTCTGTTAGCCTCTGCATCACCATCACCCCAGACCTTGGGACCATCAGCATGACATCTGGTGTTAATTGGTCCAGTGCACTTTGATTGATACGATCAGTGTGTACCCGATGTCCCCGAGACAACTATAGCGTGAAAAGAATATCCGTTCATGGATGAAATCAAACATGTTGAGAATGTTTTAGACATCAGAATATAGGAGAGCGATTATTGTTTGGGTTTATAATGTTTGATCAAATCTCCCTTTGTTTTAGACATCAGGAAATGGGAGAGCGATTATTGTTTGAGTTTATTATGTTTGATCAAATCTCCCTTGTTTTAGACATCAGGATATGGGAGAGCGATTATTATTTGGGTTTATAATGTTTGATCAAATCTCCCTTTGTTTTAGACATCAGGATATGGGAGAGCGATTATTATTTGGGTTTATAATGTTTGATCAAATCTCCCTTTGTTTTAGACATCAGGATATGGGAGAGCGATTATTACTTGGGTTTATAATGTTTGATCAAATCTCCCTTTGTTTTAGACATCAGGATATGTGAGAGCGATTATTACTTGGGTTTATAATGTTTGATCAAATCTCCCTTTGTTTTAGACATCAGGATATGGGAGAGCGATTATTATTTGGGTTTATAATGTTTGATCAAATCTCCCTTTGTTTTAGACACCAGGATATGTGAGAGCGATTATTACTTGGGTTTATAATGTTTGATCAAATCTCCCTTTGTTTTAGACATCAGGATATGGGAGAGCGATTATTGTTTGAGTTTATTATGTTTGATCAAATCTCCCTTTGTTTTAGACATCAGGATATGGGAGAGCGATTATTATTTGGGTTTATAATGTTTGATCAAATCTCCCTTTGTTTTAGACATCAGGATATGGGAGAGCGATTATTATTTGGGTTTATAATGTTTGATCAAATCTCCCTTTGTTTTAGACATCAGGATATGGGAGAGCGATTATTATTTGGGTTTATAATGTTTGATCAAATCTCCCTTTGTTTTAGACATCAGGATATGGGAGAGCGATTATTATTTGGGTTTATAATGTTTGATCAAATCTCCCTTTGTTTTAGACATCAGGATATGAGACAGCGATTATTGTTTCGGTTTATAATGTTTCATCAAATCTCCCTTTGTTTTAGACATCAGGATATGTGAGAGCGATTATTACTTGGGTTTATAATGTTTGATCAAATCCCCCTTTGTTTTATACATCAGGATATGGGAGAGCGATTATTGTTTGGGTTTATAATGTTTTATCCAATCCCCCTTTGTTTTAGACATCAGGAAATGGGAGAGAGATTACTGTTTGGGTTTATAAGGTTTGATCAAATCTCCCTTGTTTTACACGTCAGGATATGTGAGAGCGATTATTACTTGGGTTTATAATGTTTGATCAAATCTCCCTTTGTTTTAGACATCAGGATATGTGAGAGCGATTATTACTTGGGTTTATAATGTTTGATCAAATCTCCCTTGTTTTAGACATCAGGATATGGGGGGGGAGATTATTATTTGGGTTTATAATGTTTGATCAAATCTCCCTTTGTTTTAGACATCAGGATATGGGAGAGAGATTATAATTTGGGTTTATAATGTTTGATCAAATCTCCCTTTGATTTAGACATCAGGATATGGGAGAGCGATTATAATTATGGTTTATAATGTTTGATCAAACTCTCTTTGTTGTTTAACGTCACACGGCGCAAAGGACGTTGAAGACCAATTCAAACGTAACTAACGTGGGTTGCTGAAGACTAGTTTTAACCCGAATCTTCATGAGTTTACGAACATGGGATGTTGAACATCAGCAAGGATACATATATGGATTGTTGTAGACCAGCTCTATCTCGAATCTTACCCGAATGTTCACAGTTCCGGTCCGGTGATGTGTGGTATCATCATGGTGCTACGTGTACCACAGGTGGTGTGTGGTATCATCATGGTGCTACATGTACCCCGGGTGATGTGTGGTATCATCATGGTGCTACATGTACCCCGGGTGATGTGTGGTATCACCATGGTGCTACATGTACCCCGGGTGATGTGTGGTATCACCATGGTGCTACATGCACCCCGGTTAGTGTGCAGTCTGTATTATGAATCGTATGATTTCATCTGCTCGATAGTAAACCGATGATCAACCTGCCTGGATTAACACTCAGTGGTTGTCTTATCAAGCAGATCCATATATACTGGTATACAACTGAGTGTTCGATAGCTGTAAGTCCAAAATCAGATTGGGAACTCATTGACCAGACGTGCTCAGACTCATGAAGAGGTTTGAATTCAGGGAATGTTCTGTTTAACGTTATTATGATGAGCTTTTGAATTCACAAGGAATGTAATTAGACCAGTTATTACTTTCCCCACTGAACGTATTAATATAATTAATTACATCTGATGTGAGGCTGAATTAGGCATTTATTTACTCAAATCGGAGTCTTAATGGAAATGTATGGTCCATTGTTGTGACTTATGTTCTGGAAAAATGTCTAAGATGTTAACAGGTACTCACTCTCGCGTGATCTTTCCTTCTATAACAGAATATCAATACCCGTACTGTTCGGGTTTCGACTTGTAATGTCGTTAATTACTTCAGGTTGTCGACCCGAGAAGATTAGACCTCAGTAACCCATGCTTGGCGGAATAGGCGACTAACGGGATCGGGTGGTCAGGCTCGCTGACTTGGTTGTTGACAAGTTGTTTTTGAAACGAATCAAGTTTTTTTCAAATTTTCATGGCTTTTGATACGACCCCCTCCTTCCCTCTACTGTATCAAGATGGAGTTTGTCGTTGTTTTAATAATGTTTTCGACTCCCGTTGAGTTTCAAACTTGAAGAAGTCGAAGACCTTGTAAATTACAGCTGTAACATCACAAGTAAACGTCATTGTGTGAGATGCATCAATCGCTCAATCAGTAGGATAAACAGTCACGTGACAAACTTGCACGTGCCTCTCGCTTACCTGGCTGTTACCTGAACTGTCGCTACACCCTTGTCACAAATCGTGATATAGCTTATGAAAACAATGATGGTTTGTGAAACAACTTTTTTTATTTTGTAGACAAAGATTATGACAAACTTCTGCAGCGTTGGTGTGTTTTTCCTATTTACTTTGGCGTTGGTTTGAATCATTTACAATTGTTTGTTTTTTAGTTAGAGTGGAGAGATTTTGACTCAAAGGGACTGTACCTCTTGCCAAAAATATTAGTTACACCTTCGAAACCCTTTCTAGGTTTGACGGGTTTTTTTCAGAATTACTTATAAACAAGTAATAACAAGCAAGGGATCGATACATTTATGACATTTAACCATTAACCTTTCTCAGAGGTTCACAGATATGCTGGAGCGGTAGGATTCAGGGTTAGAACTAGTCTTCTCATGATTGTCAGAGGCAGCAGAAAGAGGCGACTAACGGGATCGGATGGTCAGGCTCACTGACCTGGTTCATTCACGTCATCGTATCCAAACTGTAAAGATTGATGCTCATAATATTGGTCACTGGATTGTCTGGTCTAGACTCGATTATCTACAGTGAGTGAGTTTAGTTTTACGCCGCACTCAGCAATATTCCAGCTATATGGCGGCGGTCTGTAAATAATCGAGTCTGGACCAGACAATCCAGTGATCAACAGCATGTGCATCGATCTACGGATATGGGATACGGTGATATGATTGTTTACAGACTGCCTCATATAGCTGGGATGTTGCTGTGTGCGCACTTATGTAACATGAAGTTGGAATACTTAAAGAAACTTAGCCAAGTTAATGATTTGTGTGTCATTCTATTTTCTTTGAAGAATGTTCAGTTTAAACAATAAGACATATGGAGAAGACAATCCAGTGATCAACACCATGAGCATCGATCTACGCAACTGGGAACCGATGACATGTTTCAACCAAGTCAGCGAGCCTGACCACCCGATCCCGTTAGTCGCCTCTTACGACAAGCATGGGCTACTGAAGACCAATTCTAACCGGGATCTTCATGGGTCAGTTCCACTGTAAACGACAGTCATGTGTGTGACGAGTACTGCACGTTATGTATCTCGGTCCATATACAGGCCCTATGCAATCAACAAGGTGATTGAGCTGATGTCTCCTGCAATGGGCCTTGAATGGCTGGATAATCCCAGCGTCTAGGGGCTGCAGGTGACTTCTTGTTGTAGGTGTCAATTAACCAATTAAGGTACATGCAGCCAGTGTAACTGGCATTATAACCAAGTGAAAATGACTTTTTGTTCCAAAACCATTGACAAATGGCATTATGTCCAGTTTTCGCGTTATAGCCAGGGTATTACATGTATATAGGCAGGAAATCCGTTCTGGCAAAACCATGGCGTTGTATCCAGGGTGGCATTATAAACCAGGGACCCCATTATAACCAGGGTCATTATAACCAGGGTGCACTGTATGTCTTATTCATACCAATAGATATTACTTAAGCGGAGGCCTGAATATTTCTGTGTCATTACGGTACAAACAAACAGTTCAGTAAAAATAGTTTCTATGAATATATTTGAGTTTTTCATAAAGGTAGCTACGCGACTATTTTGCATTTAATGCTAAACACTAGGTCGCAATGGTTTTCATCAAACAGTCGACTGCCTACATCATCCCCGCGGCAACTGGGAATTAGATACCCCTCGCTAATGTACTGAACATCTTTTATGTAAATAATCCAGTCGTTCATGAGCATCGAATGGGATATGATGATGTCAACCAAGTCAGCGAGCCTGACCACCCAACCCCGATAGTCGGTTATTACCCGAAGATAGGATTCATTATATGTCCTAGAGCTCTTGTATTTCCAATATATGACTTATTGTTCAACTGAACATTCTTGAAAGAAAATAGAATGACACACTGACTGACTGACTGAGTTTGGTTTTACGCCGCTTTTAGCAATATTCCAGCAACATCACGGCGGGGGACACCAGAAATGGGCTTCACACATTGTGCCCATGTGGGGATTCGAACCCGGGTCTTCGGCGTGACGAGCCAACGCTTTAACCATTAGGCTACCCCACCGCCCCAGAATGACACACAAGTCATTAACTCGGCGACCGCCACCAGATAGCTGGAATATTGCTGAATGTGGCGTAAAACTCAACTCACTCACCCATTAACTCGGCCTGTGTTTCTCTAAGTATTCCAAACTAAACTCATGTTACAAACGAAATTGTTTCCAAATGATTTCTGTATCAGAAAATTTAATGGGAATGTAATATTCCTAACTCTTGAAGTAAGGTGCGCATTGTGCATGTGCCACCTGGCATTTAGATACACCAGTTCAAGCACCTACAAGCATGTAGGTCTATACATAAGCGCAATAATCATAAACGTGACATTAAACCTCAGTTCACCTGACCTCACCTAATATAGATAACGGCAACTGTTCCGGAATAAACTGGCGGAACTACGTGTGTTGCCATGACACCGGTAGGAACCGGAATAATCCTGATCCTATCAGACATTCCGAAATATACCGGATTGTAATGTGTAGTATCATCGTGTACACTGACATGAATAATCAAAGTGCGTTTTTGTCAACCAAGTTGACCCACCTCGTGTTTACAAATAACACACTACATGCATTATCACGATCGGAATCGTCCGATGTCTTAATTATTGACAGTAACTGAAGGCATGACGTAAGTGCTTTAGTTACACCTAAGGCTGGTAAAATTATAATCCTTGTTCCCAAGGATGTCCGCATCGTTTTGGAAGCCCTGATGTCGAGCCCTTTTAAATGAAAGAGTGAATGAGTTTGGTTTTACGCCACTTTTAGCAATATTCCTGCAATATCACGGCGGAGGACATCAAAAATGGCTTCACATGTTGTATCCATGCGGGGAATCGAACCCGGGCCTTCTGCGTGACGAGCGAACGCTTTTAACATTAGGCTACCTCACCGCCCTTGTGGCATTCCGGATGCCTCCCTGGAGTAGGCTGGATGTAAGGGAATGTTTTGTAGATATGCGTTTGCTAAACATTAATTGTTCAAAAATATTTATCAGGGTTGTTATTTTACTTGTATAGTGACAATTTGATAATTGAACCCGCTATATACACAGATATGAACGCAAAAGGACAGGTAAACGCATACACCCCCGCACGCACAGATACACTCATACTCTATGTCCCTCCCTCCCCCGCCCTCACACACACACACACACACACACACACACACACACACACACACACACACTGTCTCCTCCAGCGCTCTTCTATCTCTCTCTCTTCCACTCTCTCTCTCTCTATCTCACACACGCATACACCCCACCCCACCCCACCCCCACCCCCAGACACGGACACACAGTATCTGACTCCAACCCACCCTCTCTCACGCACGCACGCACGCACGCACGCACACACACACACACGCACACTGACCTATCAGGCTGAAAACGTCCTAAGAACAAAGACTATTTACTTGACTTGCCAGATCATTACTTCACGTACAAAGGATCTTTCTCGATCCCATCGTCCGTCTACATTTTCCATGTCACCATTACAATCAATAACATATCTGTTTTGTGAAAAAAACCACGATATCGGCATTACTCTTGCATCAGCCAAATCTTAAGCTAAAACAAACACCCTACAGTAGATTTCAAATGAAAGTGTCAGAAGGTTTTCTGAAGAGGTAAACAGCCATGTAAAAATGTGATTTGTCACTACGCAGACGAATGATGCAACACAACTGAAAAAGGAGCGGTGTACTGCAGAACCAAATACAGTGACGATACGCTTCCACATTACGTAAACCGTGAATTTGTACATTCCCAGAAACATGTATTCATATCTAAGAATTTAAAACCCTTTCAGCTCCTCCTTTATACCACATACTTCTAGTGTTGGGACACCAGGCCTTTTTTCGCTAATTTGGAGGCCATTTTGGATTTTAATATGGCCGCCAATTTCTCTGGATTTTCGCCAGTAATTTAATTCATTTTTTCCGTGCATAAAACGACTGAGGTATTATATTTCTTCTGTAAGCAAGCATCTATCCCCGCTTCTATTATATTAAATTCTAAACAAACAAACAATACGGACAAACAATCATGATCTGGCATATACTTACAAACTAAACGTCAACCCGTCTCAATCCGGGTCAGAATTGACCTTCAGCAACCAATGGATGGTACGGCTCGCTGACCTGGTTGATATATTTCATTGTATCCCAGTTGCGTTGATGGCAGCTCATAACATCAACCACTGGATTGTCTGTAGAGATTCGATTATTTACAGACCGCCATCATGTAGCTGAAAACCATGCATGAATAGAGTTACCTCCCTTGTATGACAAACAACCAATCTGACAATAATTGGAGGGAAATCGAAAACGGACACGTTCTTTTGTCGGCATTCGAAGGAAACGCCTGCTCGTTTCAAAGAAACTTCTCTTTCATAAAACAACCCTTCCCCGACATAAACAAACTTAATTGTTTATGAAACGCCCCCTTGGTCGATGTCAATAAATAATACAGTTTATGAAACGACCCCTTGTGACGTATGATATCTTGGTTCGCATCTTCGTGGGTTCTGCTGTCAAGAATACTGTTATATAAACAACCCTTCCTGTCCCACACAGGCACAAACTTCCAAGATGTCAAACAACGAAAATTCCCCTGGTCAACTGGGCAAGTGGAGGGAAGACGATCACGTCGCCTACACACAGAATTCCCGTGCATTCCGCAAGGGTATTTCACCATTTGAAGCTGTCGACTACTACTCCCAGTGGGCAGAATGTCACCAATATGATGAGGTGAGAATGCAATACAAGTTTTATCAAATCTGCAAATTATGTTTTCTCGAGATATTTTAACTCTTTTCATTGAAATTGTTCAGATCCATGTTCATGACTTCGGATGTGTTAGTAACTTTTGTTACTATATTTTTGAAATTTTTCCTTGTTCTAAGCTGTTCCTCGTAAATACAATTTGATATGAAAACAGAGAATAAAGATGATTGTTCGTATTAAATCTGAAGGAATTTTATTAGTGTAACATCTGAAAATGTGTATCAGTTTAAATACTAAACCAGTAATGAATGACAATTCCGTCATTATGATATCGCACACCCTAAAATTGTCCTAAGTAGTGGCCATACTTTTTAGGCTGACCGCATATTGATTTCGTGATACCACCATATACATGTATATATAGATAGTGCCATGATAAAATGTGTGTGTGTGTGTGTGTGTGTGCGTGTGTGTGTGTGTGTTCAGTATATCCTTTTCTTCTCATTTCTCATTATAAGGACCCTTGTAAGTATTACACAATTATATATTTACCACGATGATTTCTGAAATTGCGAAAGTGTTCAAAACTGCTGAATGTTGTTGACGATGCAGAATGATCGTGAAAGAAAGAAACGTCCTTTTGATTCGCAAGTAGTCTCTGAAATGAAAATATTTTACAGAAAAAAACAGCTTCCAAATTATATTCACAAAATATACTAGTAGTGTAGACTTTCCACATATTCTAGACTAACATGGGCTGCTTTGAGTATAGCTTTTTCAGGGTCTGTATGACAGACTAGATCGCGAGCCCAGCGCGTATATTCGCGTCACGATCGCGATCAAGGGAACGCATGAAGATGTTTGCTCGCGTACTGATCACGACGGGGGCGCGAAACGGTAAGGGGGTTGTACTTAGTGAGTTTAGTTTTACGCCGCTTTTACCAATATTCAAGCAATATCACGGCGGGGGACATCAGAAATGGGCTTCACACATTGTACACATGTGGGGAATTGAACCCGGGCCTTCGGCGCTACGAGCGAATGCTTTAACCACCGTCCCGTAAGGGAGCTGTACTCAGTGGGGCGTTCTGAGCAGCAGCACACGTGCTTTACTAAGACATACCTGGGCGGTGGAGTAGCCTAATGGTTAAAGCATTCGTTCGTCACGCCGTAGTCCCGGGTTCGATTCCTCCATGGGGGCAATATGTGAAGCCCATTTCTGACCGGCCGTCCCCCATTGCGTATGGCCTTGTCATTATTTGGTTTCATCTCAAGAATTTTCTGTTTTCTGTTAATGTGGTAGTTGGCATCGAACACTCAGTAGATGCATCAAACGAATATGGTTGTCTCTTTTTTGTGTCGTCACACTCGGACATACAGCCCGTGGCGAATCTGGAGTGTTGCCATAATTACGAGAACTTTTCCAAAGATATGCTTTATTGTTTCGATGAACGCGAATATCTTTGGAAACGTTTTGCTCTATTCCTGTTTGCAGAGGGCGGTGGGGTAGCCTAGTGGTTAAAGCGTTCGCTCGTCACGCCGAGGTCCTGGGTTCGATTCCCCACAAGTGCAATGTGTGAAGACCACTTCTGGTGTCTCCCGCCGTTATATTACTGAAATATTGCTAAAAGCGGCGTAAAACCATACTCACTCACACACTCACTTACTCTACCCTGTTTGCAGCATGGCCACTGCGCTTAGACCTTCAGCAAGCCGTGGCGTCGAGTCGAGGAGACATCTTCATGAATATGTATTGGGCGATTAAGTCAGAATACATATACTGTTACTGAAACGTCACGTGTTAGTTGATGACGGACAATGAGATTTAGCTCACGCACACAAAAAAACAACAAACTTTTAAATGTCAGGTACCAGGTGGAGAGAACACGACAAGAGATTAGTATAAAATATGAAACGCATATTGCATCATCCGCCGTTGATGGAAAGATGTTTTCTGTGCATATATTGTTACTGAACTCTCTCTGAAGTAACGTCACATGTCCCGTTAGTATATTGGCATGCGGATTTAGTAACAAATAGAGATTATTACACGAGCAAGTGTGTCATACGACTTATACGAAACGAGTGTGAAATTTCGTATTGCCCGAGCATGTATTTTTGTATATGGTTGCTGGGCAAAAGTGATATGTGCACATGTGCACGTATTGAAAATATGACATGACTTATGTTCCACCATTGATTTCAAAGTGATTGCGTCACGCCGAAGACCCGGGCTCGTATCCCCACATGGGTACAATGTGTGAAGCCCGTTTCTGGTATCCCCCGCCGTGAATTGCTCGAATATTGCTAAATGCGGCGTAAAACCATACTCACTCACTCACTCCAACCACGGTGACCACAAGTGTAACCTCGTTTACAGTCAATATGACCGCGAAAACCTGCAGTGAGATTGTGTACTGTGAAACCACTTCACAAACGTTTATGCAGATAAAGGTCAAGTCCAGAAAGTGCGTACTGAACAGCTAGTGAGAAGACCTTCCTCAACAGATAATAGACATTGTTGGTCGAGTGGCACAGAGAATTCCGGAGTTGACTTGTAGTCTACGGGTCAAAACTGGCACGAACCAGTTTTTGATTCTGTTTACACAGATATAAATGTGTAGATAGTCGGTTATCTGACGAATGTACCGATCATGTCATTACGTACTTACTGGTAAGGTGATGACGGGGTGATGAATGAAATGAAAAAATTTGGTGTAAAGTGAAAGTAGGGCTTAATTCTTTGTATTCTAACAACGCCATATTCCATCCTACATATTCACATGGCCGCTTATAAATGATTGAATTTGGATACAGAGTTAGTTGATATATGGGAGATGCACGTCGCGGTTTTGTTTGTTTGTTTATTTGTTGTTTAACGCCGCACTCAGCAATATTCCAGCTATATGGCGGCGGTCTGTATATAATCAGTCTGGACAAGACAACCCAGTGATCAACAGCATGAGCATCGATCTAGGCAACTGGGATACGATGACATGTGTCAACCAAGTCAGCTAGCCTGTCAACCCAATCCCGTTAGTCGCCTCTTACGACAAGCACAGGTTGCAGAAGATCAATTCTAACCGGGGCGGTGGGGTAGCCTAATGGTTAAAGCGTCCGCTCGACATGCTGAAGACCCGGGTTCGATTCCCACATGGGTGCAATGTGTGAAGCCCATTTCTGGTGTCCCCCGCCGTGATATTGCTGGAATATTGCTAAAAGCGGCGTAAAACCATACTCACTCACTCAATTCTAACCCGGATCTTCACGGTTCGATGACAGGGTTCGTTATGGAAACAGCTACTGATAGGACCTTACGATCTCTGACCAGAACATTACATCATCTCGAATTAGTGGATGATATTATATTACTCCTGGAGAGATATTTTAAGATCTTCGTCCACAATTTAGTTCACAAAATGTGTGAGAGAATGCACTACATTTCTTTATATTTTCACCTGATCTTATGATCATTTGTACGAATCCAAGATGCTCATTTCTTAAACCGGCGAGATTCTATACATTCCTATTTGCATATATGTTCGCGATAAAGATGTTTATAGATAGTGTACGATATACATGAACAACTTGAACATAATGTTTACTTTAGATCTGCTCTGTAGTTGATAACTCAACTCGTTGTCAAGATAACCTGGGGGTCATGTGTAAACGTGCGCTGATTTGACCGAGCTTGACTGGTTTGACATTTACAGCAGAATCGCTTCTGCCTTGTCTAATCTAGTCCAATGTAATCTCGGGTCTTCGATGTAATAGATTACGGGTGCTTTGTATGCGTTACATTTATTTGAGATAATGTAAATAATATAAATAATGTTTAACGACGCCCTCAGCGATATTCCAGCTGTAAGACCGGGGCGGTGGGGTAGCCTAATGGTTAAAGCGTCCGCTCGACATGCTGAAGACCCGGGTTCGATTCCCCACATGGGTGCAATGTGTGAAGCCCATTTCTGGTGTCCCCGCCGTGATATTGCTGGAATATTATTAAAAGCGGCGTAAAACCATACTCACTCACTCAATTCTAACCCGGATCTTCACGGTTCGATGACAGGGTTCGTTATGGAAACAGCTACTGATAGGACCTTACGATCTCTGACCAGAACATTACATCATCTCGAATTAGTGGATGATATTATATTACTCCTGGAGAGATATTTTAAGATCTTCGTCCACAATTTAGTTCACAAAATGTGTGAGAGAATGCACTACATTTCTTTATATTTTCACCTGATCTTATGATCATTTGTACGAATCCAAGATGCTCATTTCTTAAACCGGCGAGATTCTATACATTCCTATTTGCATATATGTTCGCGATAAAGATGTTTATAGATAGTGTACGATATACATGAACAACTTGAACATAATGTTTACTTTAGATCTGCTCTGTAGTTGATAACTCAACTGGTTGTCAAGATAACCTGGGGGTCATGTGTAAACGTGCGCTGATTTGACCGAGCTTGACTGGTTTGACATTTACAGCAGAATCGCTTCGGCCTTGTCTAATCTAGTCCAATGTAATCTCGGGTCTTCGATGTAATAGATTACGGGTGCTTTGTATGCGTTACATTTATTTGAGATAATGTAAATAATATAAATAATGTTTAACGACGCCCTCAGCGATATTCCAGCTGTAAGACGGTTGCTGTAAAACAACGTACTTTTATAAACACACTATATGTATTTCATAAATAACTTAAATACAGAGTTGATTAAAATTACACAAAAGTTCATACTTATTCAGCTTGTTTTGATCTCACATTTTACCTCACCTGATGCAATGAAAGCTTGTCATTTTTTAAATTCGTTATTGAATATTGAGACAGATTTAATTGTTTTGAGAAGTGATTGTATGGTTTAAATATAAGGTCGGAGGACACAGAAATGAGCATCGCGAATTAATCCCCATTATCAAGTCGAATCCAGGTCTTCCACGAAACGATCAAGCACATTAGCCACAAGGCTACCCCCACCTCCCATTTCGATATTACGGGGCGGTGGGGTAGCCTAGTGGTTAAAGCGTTGGCTCGTCACACCGAGGACCCGGGTTCGAATCCCCACATGGGTACAATGTGTGAAGCCCATTTCTGGTGTCCCCCGCCGTGATGTTGCTGGAATATTCCTTAAAGCGGCGTAAAACTAAACTCAGTCAGTCATTTCGATATTACAACTTTGCGAGCTGTTAATACGGGAAATATACAGGCGGGTACACTGAAACTGTCCAAGCGAAGTGTTCGAAAACAAATAACGAATTTGATGTTGTATTGCTAAATTTCAGGATCTGCGACCTGGACGGTACAACGGCCCACTGATTACCGCCACCGCTGTTGCAGAGTTCTTTCCCAAGGATAGAGAGGAGAAGAAGATCATGGATATTGCTGCGGGAACCGGATTTGTTGCCGAACATGTAATTTTCATTAATCAATTATTATATTGTCTTTACCTTTCTTTTCAAGAGCACCCGTGAAGATCCGGGTTAGAATTGGTCTTCAGCAACCCATTCTTGTCATCAGTGGCGACTAACGGGATCGGGTGGTGAGGCTAGCTGACTTGGTTGACACAATTGCGTATCCCAATTGCGTTGATCGATGCTCATGCTATTGATCACTGGATTGTCTGGTCAAGACTCGATTATTTACAGACCGCCGCCTTATAGCTGGACTATTGCTGAGTGCGGCGTTAAACAACAACCAAAGCAAATCTTGTCAAGAGGCTACTATTATTATACAATTATAGACTGGTGATGAGGTCAATTCCTGTTTTTATAGACCCTCGAAAAGCAATATTGACCGAGAACGAAGACGCAATATTGTTTTTCGCGGGTCCATAAAAACAGGTATTGACCTCATCACCGGTCTATAATTGTATAATATCCATACAGATGAAACATTGCCAAAGGAATGGAATAAATTGTCACATTTTCCCATAATTTCTCTTCATCATCGGTTTCCTCCTTGGCTTCATCATATGCCTTTTATCAATCTTGTAAATCCAATATCCCCTACTTTTTTTAATGGTATATATTCCACACGCAAACAATGTCTCTCACTTGCCACTAAATACCAACGTCTTGACCTATGGTTGAAACGGATTTTACAGCATGACCTACCATTAAATCAATGATTAATCAGTAAAGTTTTGCTGCCTGGCTCCCTGGGTATGTAGTCTGTCTCATACTCCCCGAACCGCATTATTTTCCCTTCTTCCTAGTCCTTTCTGTAATGCTAAAGCCCTAAATGAAACAGGTCTAGATTTCCTCCGGTTCAGGATCTGAATCTCACTTGTCACTGGGACTTCTTTGTTTCTGTCAAAATTATATATACTCATGGAAACAAATAAAGCAACACATGAAAGTACAAGTGTTCCTTTATTCATTCCCAGAATTCCCTCACAGTGCAATCAGAGACCTATTATATGGTCTGGTGCAATACATACCTTGTGAAGAAACCTGGAAAAGAATAAAGGAACACTTGTACTTTCATGTGTTGTCTTATTTGTTTCCATGAGTATATACTCAGAGACTTAGCCTTAGTCTACTTGGTATGCTGCGCTGGCGCGTCACCGAGGTGGGTCTCCATCAGTGAAGTGTATCTCCATCAGTAAACACCAGTGCAGTCAGTGCAGCATACACGGGGAACCAGAGTGCTATACTATGCTGATTAATAATTGAAGTTTACTTTTTCTCATATGCATTGGCATTGGCTAGTGGTATGCTCGCAAAATGGAATATCCCCTACTTTTTGTTAATGGTAGATTTGTGGGTTCGGGTTTTATTAGATCACGTGTTGATTTAGGTCTTCCCACCTTTGAGTGTCGATCGATGACATCCCTCTACAGAAAACCTGACTACGACTGTATGTATATCCTCATTGCGTGGAAAGAGGAAATGACATGACCTGACACTTACATGCCCATCCTATGTGTCAGCATGACACTGCATTTCGCTGAAAACGTCTCAGCTTGTTATCCGTCCAAACAAATATTGACTATGCACTTTTGTTTACTCTGGGTCGATCAATTAAAAGCATGCTAGTACAAATCCTTTATAACAAGTGTGCACACAGTTGCCAGGTGCATACGACTTTCTGCAGGTGAACATATGTGCAGTTTGTGAATGTTTAGAGTGAGTGGGTGAGTTTAGTTTTATGCCGCACTCAGCAATATACCAGCTTTATGGTGGCGGTCTGTAAATAATCGAGTCTGGACCAGACAATCCAGTGATCAACAGCATGAGCATCGATCTGCACAATTGGGATACGATGACATGTTTCAACCAAGTCAGCGAGCCTGATCACCCTTATCCCGTTAGTCGCCTCTTACAAGCATGGGTTGCTGAAGACCAATTCTAACCCGGATCTTCACGGGTTTGTGTATGTTTAGAAGTGGATAAGGTGATAATTGTATTATTTCCGTGCAATCTCTGACAATCAGTATGACATTACAGTAATTATGTATACAATAATTCTTTTAGAACTTACTATCTTTATCACGGTATACATACCCCTCTCTTGACGATTCCACAAGTATCGTCCGTACCTGTGCGTTTGGTATTCAGTCACTTTTGTGAAAGTCACAAGCATGCACCCGTTTGAGATTCAAACTGCGGCCAGCGGATACTTCCATGAATGTCATGTACTGTTGGAATGTCCGCTGTACGATGATCTACGTGAAAGTTTATATGGCCATATGTGTTTCAGCTATCCCAACTTCCTAGATTTATGTGATAATGAAAAAACGATTTTACTATTTAAAGAACATGTTTATTTTTCAGCCAAAAGCTGCTTTTATATACTTCAAAGAAGAAAACATCTTTTATTTCATATTGTTACTTTTATCATAGATGTCACTTCTGTGTAATAGTCTCTCATAACCCTTAACGGGTGGCTCATTTTATGTATATGTGTGTATATATCTGTACTTTTACATGAGGTGAGACTTAAATAAAATATGTCTGTCTGTCTGTCCATGGTAAATATATTGTTTAAACACACACGTGATATTCCTGCCTGTGTGATTTCAGCTGAAGGCCAAGGGGTTCCGTCACATCGACGCACTAGAGCCGTCAACACAGATGCTCTGCAGGGCCAAGGAGAAGGGGCTGTATGAGAACTACTATACCGACTTCCTGTCTGAGGAACCGCTGCCGACAATCAAGGAAGGTAAGCTACAGTATATTGACAACAGTCCTGTAAATTAGGCCACAGTTTAATGTTTCCAACAATCGGGAAAGGTGAGCTATAGTATACTAATTTCAACAATCATTGAAGGTGGAGAAATATTAATAGTCTTAAGAAGTACGTGTATTAGATTGTTTAAGAAGTATAGCCCAGTGGATAGCGTGTTAGAGTGCCAAGCTCGAGTTCGATTCCAAACATTGTCACTTTGTGACCCGGTCATTCACAAATTAAAAAACGTAAATGCTGCTATATCTGGTGTTGAGCTTGATAAAGTTGGGAAAGAAGTCATGGATATGTAAATATATTACTGAGGTTGCGCTCACTGACAATGCATATATTCTGTTTGGGTTTCAGACACCTACGACTGTGTTGTCATTTGTGGTGGAATGGGTGAAGGTCACATACCTTGCTCCGGAATCAGAGAACTTATCCGAATCACCAAACTAGGTAAGAATCTCTCCCAATTTATTTTAGTGAGTTTTATGTTGTTTTGAAGTGGATTGATGTGGAACAGTATTCACATTATTATTGCGACTTTTGGCATCAAGGGTTAGGATCGTGGATAGTGGAGATCCGGGTTAGAAAGTGTCTTCAGCAACCCATGATTGTAAGAGGCGGCTAATGGGATCGGGTAGTAGACTCGCAGATTTGTTTGATGCAAGTCTTCGTATCCCAGCTGTGTAGATAGATAATCATCGAGTCAATTACTGGATTGACTGGTCTAGACGTGACTATTTGCAGACCGCTATCATCATCTTGGATATAGCTTAGTGCAGAGTTTAACAAAAACATGACAATCAATATAGTGGATAGAAAGACAGCGGAATGTCAGTGCTCCGATCAATCGGCCGCGTCATAAAGAAAGACCTTAAAAGATCATACTTGTTTGACGCCACTGAACCTTGTGTTATTCTGTGCACTCTATTTTCAGGTGGGCTGATATGTATCGTGATGCGTGAACAATATTTGATGGAGGTGGACGAATACAAAGACCGTCTGGAACCATTAATGGACTTTCTGGAAATGGCGGGAAAATGGGTCCAGGTGGCACGTGCCACGGTCCCAGACTACTTCATCAATATCCCCGGTGTGGTCTACATGTACACCAAGATATGAACTCAAGCAACCAGTTTCTCAAATGAAACCCAGATGACGTTCACTCACGGCTCGAGTTTAGTATAGCTTTGTGCTTGTTGCTATAATTGGGTTTAAATCCGATCTTGGCCCCCGTTTCGAAACCTGTCTCAGAGTTTTGTCTACAGTTAATATCTCTATGAAATCATGCTTTAATTTTCCATATTATATACGGTGAAAGAGCATTTATTTTTTTCGACGTAATATAAATCTTAAATGTAGACCTATTCCTATAATACAGACAACGGTTCCTTCAGTCAAAGACTGTGTTCATTGCATATCAGGGTTTAGTATTTAACGATCACCAAAGTTTAACGATGAACAAGTACTTAAACGGTGAAACAAGACCTACAGGTGCTCTTCAAAGTACCCACTACAACATGGTCGGTACAATGATGGTTGTGCCCATGCCTTGTCGCAAAAGTCCATCCACATAACATACCAACATATGTAAATGAGCACTGTCAGTGGGAAGAAATAGGTGTCTAACCCTTTCAGCTCTTTGATAACCTTTTAGTGGATAGTGTCTTCTGAGTGCTGAATCCATACAAAGTAAATGGCATGGCTGCAATACTTGTCCTTCAATACAGAAATTTCTATGCTTACTAGGTTCACAAAGAAAACATACAGGTGTCCACATTATCCAAATCGTAGAGAGATAATAAAGCAATGACGATGGTACAGGAACAGGTTGACATAATGCCTGCGCCACCACTCTGGTTCATCCATCCATTTACCATGGTAAACGATCCACGCCATGGTAACGCACAACCAGCTAGGTGACACATTGTACTTCCCTGGTTGACATTAGATTTACATACGTTTCGAATACTCATGACCTATTCCGCCCGAATACCCAAGAGGGGTGTACAAAAAATAACATTAAATGTTCCTCTAAATTCACGGCAAAACACTATATATTTAACATTTTACTAGCTTGCTATTTACTTCCACCACGTTTTTCCATCTTGGTGACGGTGATCTTGCTGTGATTGCGCACAAACCTGTCGTAACAACGAAACTCTATGAATGACCATTTAACGGTCTTATGTATGCATTCAAAGAGAAAGTAAACCTGATACTGCATATGCTCTTGCGTTGTTTGTTCCAGTCCTACAAATGTGTCTGTGTGTTTTTTATCTGCATCCAAGGATTTGGAAATAATCGAGTCTGTAACAGATAAATGACTGACTAACACAATGAGCATCTGCAACGCCAATTGTGGCGCATCGTAGAATTTGGCCATCCGTCCCCTCCTGAAAATACGGGTCACAGAGATCGCCATCCAATTTAGTTACCCAGGCATAAGTGTGTAATATAACACATCATATTTGGTCGACTCTCATTTAGTGGATCCACGAGCTAGGAACGTTTAGAGTTCCTTGTCTTGTTATAACAGCCCAAGTTTTGCGGTTTACAATTTCAACATTACATTTCCAATATTCTAAAATATTGCTGACTGAGGAATATAACACTGATCTGTTACTCCCATTATTCACTGAACTTGCAGCTGTTATATAATGAATAAACACACAGACATTGTTGCCCAAAGTATGCAATATGCTGTGCTTCCAAATAACAACCACCATCCCTCCACATCAAACAATTTATTCCAAAACATAACAAAACTGTTTTCACATAACAGTCGGCACATTTTCACCAATGTAACTGGCATACACAACTGCACTCATGTCTTCATAATCAAGTCATCCATATATGTTGTCAAATCATGTTAAGAAAAATGTACGAAAGTGATTTCTTACGGGTATATTAGTAAAAACTGTGCCATCACTGACAGTGAAAATGTACCCATCAAAAGTAGTTGTAATCCATAAGTTAACTGTCAATTTCAAATTCAGTTTGTGCATTTACAGTTAGTACTGATCTGTTAAAGCAATTTCCTACAAACATCCTGAAAGCTGAAAATCACCACCCCAAAATACCCAAATCTGGATACAACAAAGTAAAAGGAGATAAAAGAGGTGAACACAATATCAAATATATAACAACATATTAATGTACCAAAAACATGGGAGGGATTACACTGTAACAAAAGAATGACATATACAGTCTGTAACTAAACAAGAAGACATCACTGGAAAGAACACATCGACTTTCCATTTTTAGATTTTCTTCCAGTACAGTCATATGTGGTAAACTTTGCTTGTAAAATATAACCAAAAAAAAAAACCCACTTCATGTCACAAAGCTTACAATTTTCAAGAAATGCATAACCACATAACTAAAAAATAATCTTCATCAAAGGTCCCATAGAGTAATGATTTCAAAGCAATAACTAACCTACTCAGTGTAATCAGTAAACACTTGATATACAAATATCAAATGGTTCAGTAATCGCACACATTTAGATTCCAGTTTTACTGTAAGTCCAAAAAATTCTCACAATAACCAGGCATTCCGAATAATGTCTATAATGTAAACCATGGTAACATATATCTGAAAAAATAAACATAAACATAAATAATTTCCTTCAATTTCTACACCAGTTCATTGCAGATATGTAGGTAAAATTTTCATAGACATTGGGTGGTTTGAATCTACATTATACAGGCTATAGTGGTTCCATGGAATCATGAACAATATGCTGTATTTATAAATGACAACCAACCTTCATACACTATATACATCTTCTGCTTTTCACTCTCACACAAATGTCCTGTGTAATAATAAGCTCTCAAACAATCTTATTTACACCATAATTCATATCTCAGCAATCACAGGGAGCAATTCATTCACAGTATCAGCAAAAATGTACCGGTAATTCCTAAAAAAATGATGACTTATGAAATCTGCATGAAACAGAATAAGACAAAACACCATACCAAAGTAACAGGTAAAATATGGTACTCTCAAAATTGTGCAAGGATAGGTCTGAATTACATGGACACATTTATTGAAAAAAAGACCCATTTTGTCAGGAGACATCTTTGTGAAATATGGTTGATTACAAAGCAGAAAACACATTGTGAGACAGAGAAGCATTGCACATTACATGTCCACTTTGAACACTCTGGCATAGTTGGAATTATTTAGTAACTATGAGCTTAAGCTGTTACGGGGACAACTATATAGCCTGATCCAGGGCTCCAGATAAGGGCCGTATCGGCGTATGTATGGCTAAAACATATGCACAATACAGTAGGAAATAATTTAGAAAACGTAGCAGATACACACCACAGACAGGTGTCACGGTCTTAGAATCATTTACAGATGTATTTATCTGAAAAAAGTATTGTTTTATTAGTTTTTTTTACCTGTTCACACAAGAGTAGCAAATGTTGTGGTGCATATATGAAACGAAACACAAGTTTACTGGTACTCCATTAAATTCCATTCAGTACTCTAAATGTACTCTTAAGGTTTTCCAGTACTCCTATATTGAACAAATAAGGAGTACGTACTCCTGATGTTGAAAAATAATCTGGAGCCCTGCTGATCTAATTTGAAAAAGGTACTTGTAACTTTCACACTTTCAAATCTTAGGGCAAAGGATTTCATTAGACAAACCAAGGCATACTCAAACCAAAGGGCCTTGTAGCATTAAGGAATTTGATAAATGGATAACATTGTGTGACAACTACAAACTAGACACATGCCTGTCATATGTTCAAAGTTGCCACAGGAGCAGAATGTCTTCATTCTTTAAAGGGGTATCCTAATATTTATCACCATTTGTACTAGTTGATATGTCAGATGCAGTTGTAACCCTTTTCACATGAACGAGGGCTCAAATATGTTAAAGATGTCATACTGACAAATACCACATGACGGATGCAGGACCCCACATCATGCCCATTTGAACAATGAAACACTGCAAAATGAAATTGTATGTGTACTGTCTTTCATACCTTCCTGTAAGATATGTGTGCAATTGAACACATTTTATTTGGTGATCTCACACACAAATAATAAATATAACAATTATCATAGAATCATTAAAAATTATCATACATCTTATAACTACTATTTACAATGTTAATTCTACATGTTTTTCAACATAATGATGAAATTTTCAGCATGTATAACAATATTTACATGTATTTGCCCTGAGTAGTAAGCATGGTGAACAATTATGCAATTCTTAGTAAAGTATGGGATTGGGTGGCGATTCAGATCACCCTGCAAAAAGATAGTCACCTTTCACACCAGAATCTAACCTACTCTACCCTTTATGTACAAACCTGAAATTATGTTTCAGTGATCAAGTACTTCATATGACTATTGATCAATTTCTCCAAAGAGGAACATGTTGCAAAAAAAGCAAAATAAAGCACATGGTCAAATGTAATAAATGTCGGAGATGCTGTCTTAAAATTCTGGAGAAAAGATTTTCGAAAATAAGTCATCTTGGTTAACAAAACACTTCCATTTCTCCTCTGGTATGACCAACATCATAAAGATGTTTTCTTGGATAGAAATAGTCAATAACACCCATCATGTACTCAAATACAGGTATGTGGTTTTTGTGGTGAAACCATGATCAGTGTTTGCATTGAGATCAGCATTCCATGAGGTATATACCAATAGATACAGGAAACAAAGAATCTCCTGCACACACTCAACGCCAACAAAGTCTTGAATCGTGGATTCTTACCTCTCTTACAGTCACATTTTTTTCATGCAAAACAGGAAATGTCTCCTGTAACATTTATTTCAAAGCATTGCACCATTCTTGTCAAAAATAATGTGCTGTCATGGTGACAATATTTCCAATTAAAATTCTACATAATTTCTGGGTCATCTTTTACGTCTTCTTTCTTATTTTGTGATGCAGTGGCAGCTGCAGCCTTGGCAGCTTCGGCTTCAATTCTCATGCTCTCTGTCTGACTGTCAATATACATCTTCAGCTTCTGCATTATGTCAACTGGTGTTGACATTGTTGTCGGGGATGATGGACCACCGGAGGAGTTGCTAGAAGAGGGGAGACTGTGTCCCACTGAAATAACAGGCAATCTGGGCAATGCACTTTAAGTAACATGGTGGAATATAATCAGTATGCAGAAAATTTTAAACAGGATAAACTGATTTTGGTTCACTAAATTCATTAAACTTTGTCAAGTCTCAGGAAGAGTGAGTGAGTGAGTAAGTATGGTTTTACGCCGATTTTAGCAATATTCCAGCAATATCACGGCTGTGGACACCAGAAATGGGCTTCACGCATTGTACCCATGTGGGGAATCGAACCAGCATCTTCAGCATGACGAGCAAACGATTTAACCACTGGGCTACCCCGCGGCTCCATGTCAGGAAGAAGAACACAGAGGGCTATAATGGGATTCCTTGGTAGTGATATTATGCACATTTCTCAATTTACAATGTGTCAAGCTACACTATATATATTTGCTGTATGTGTGCACAATACCTATCATGTGCATTTATACATTTTTTTTATGTATTTCTCAATGGATACCTGAAAGTGTTTGCACTCAAAATGGCTATGTCTACCCAACATTTTTATTGACACATTGTCACTTGTATTTATGGAAAGACAAGAAATTTTAAAGATTTAAAAAAATAAGAAAACAATAGTGGAGCATGGTCATTGCACATGTACAGCTTCATGCAAAAATATTCATTAGTTTGAGAGTTATGGGTTGGAGACAAAGCCTACAGTTGTTTAAGCCTAAGTCAAAACTGTTTCCATGGAAACAAAAGAAATTATGATTTAGAACAATTCTAAAAAAGCAAGGCACCAGTTTAGCTGATGAGCAATGCAAACACAGAATTGCGCTGAAATATGTCACATGGTTTTCAAGTTATGGCCAAGAAACAAACCCTATCCTTGTTTGATTGAAAGTCGAAATTGTGTCCATGGAAGCCAAACAATTACAAATTGTTCAACAATTCTAAAATAGCTCAAGGCACCAGTAATGTTGATGAGCAATGTATGCACGTGACAAGATTTGTTGAAAAACACTGAATGGTTTACTAGAGCAGGAATGTCGATACCAAAGGAGATACCATCACCAACAGTAACCAAGCCATAATCAATATGTCTACCCTCCAAGCTGGGAGTGGAGACATAAAAAACAGAACTACAAGAAAACTTGATTACTATCATATCATGAAGTCATTGCTATATCATATCAAATGTTGGTCAAGAGTAAAACTGTTCAGATGATACTTATATCTAATCTAACAGTGCAGATGTTGGTATATTTTATTACTTTCACAAACACGTGATGAAACATAGCCAGCCATGCTTCAATTTTCTATCTACTCAATAAAACAAAAAAGTGAACTTCTTCTGAAATGAAATTGATAAATGAAGATCACTGTTATTGATTTCTGAGAGTCTGAGAGGTGTAAATTCAGGTTTAGTGTCACTCCTTATTAATGGTAAGATATATTATTGGGGTTAGTGCTAAATCTGGATCTCACTCATGTTAACTCATGATATATACAAAACTTTATAATGTAAAATTGGCACTATGCAAATGACTTACACCAACATACACAATTAGTCAACTGGTATATATGTCTCTGGCACAGACACATGTTTTAGTGAAATAGGCAAATTCTACTCCAAACAAGTGGATTTTATCACATAAGCCTCCCAAAACAAACTACTGACATAATCACATATCTTGCTACATTCTTATTTGTATTTTGCAAAAGGTGATTACCATTATGACATATTATATTATGAAACCAAAGTCTTAGTTCGTAGGTTACATGCTTCAACTAACTATCACACACACACCTGTCACATCAATCATACAAACTTGTCTGGGAACAACCTGACATTTACCTATAACTCTTGATTCACACAACTTTCAGCAACACTTCAGCAACAGCACAGCAGGGTAGAGCAGAAATGTCCTTCACACATCATAACTCAACAGAGAATCAAACCCAGGCCTTTGGCTTGATAAGCAAATGCTTTGACCACTAAACTACCTACCTTTACTTTCAAGCAATGTGTACTCAACTTAAACTGAGTAAGATTTTTGCTCAGTTCCTCGGCAGCCAAACCCATTGAATGTACAAAAGGAAAAGGTCTAAGAATAATTGTTGAAGGTGCTAGTGTACTGGATAAACCAGGCTGACTATTAGTGCCACTGGCAATATTAATGGTGCATGCACGAACCTCTAGAGACATTGAGGGGCAAGCCAGAGGCGGTGGCAGCGGGATGGGTGGAAGGGGGGCCGACCATGCTGTATGGCGGTGATGCAATCGGGGTCACAAACTTGGTGTTGGTTGCGATACCCAGAAAGTCATCCATGTCCTTGAAGGTTAGGTTGTTATGTAGAGTCTCCAATGGCCGTAGTGATGGAACCATTCCAAATCCACCAAATGCTAAAATGAAATTGCATATGCTTATTATTTACACAGAATGGATAGTTCAGACCTCAGTACTTTGACTTGGGACTTTGAACAAACTCACCTCAGTTTTGATAAAAGTGCATATAGATGTAACAAATAATGATAGATTGGCTGTCTAGTTTGCATTTAGGTCCACAAAAACTAAGGATAAGGCCTGGCTCAGCCTGGTAAATCTCTGTTCAATAGTCAAAGTACTAGGTTCTTCCATGTTGTATGTTTCTGTAATAGAATGTTGATTAGTGAAGCATGAAATATTCTTTCAAACATTATAAAAATAGGCACAAAGAAATGTTCACATGTCTATAACAAACTGAAAGAAATTATCTTGGATATACATTAGAGACAAGCACTTATAGAAAACTGTATGAGACTACTGATGCATTTTTTAAAAGCATTTAAACAAAATAATAAATTAAGACAAAAACAAAACAGTTAAGAATGTGAACTTGAAATTAATGAAGAATAATATTAATTTCTAACCATGCACATGTATTATACAAGAAGACAACAGAGGATATTTGTGGAAAGGGGAGGATTGCACATTTTGTGAGGAGTGGAACATAATTATCTAGGTGTGGTATAAATATGCAAAACACTGTTGAAGGGTGCAGACCCTGATATATGGATTTAGCATGAAATTTTCAAGTACAATGAATTTAAAATATCACTTGAAACTCTTAGTTTTCGTGAAATAAGTATCAAATAAGTTTAGACAGTGACTTTGCTGAAGAGATTATAAAATGAATATATATCTTCGCAAAAACAACCAAGAGCATTTCACATGATTGCAGATCTCAAGGAAGCATCTTAGGCTTAAACAATGTCAAATATGATAAGACACCTGAATAATAACTGAAAGAATTTCTTATGAAAATAAAAAAAGATAGAAGAAATAACCCAACTGACATGAAATACTTTCAACAAATAACATAAGCAGTTAGAATGTATAGTACATACATTAAATATAAGTAAAGAATGTTAATGGAATTTTAGGTGTCCTTTGCTCTTCTCAACCTCATCATCTGAACATCGCTCCTAGTGCTATACCAGTATGTAACTTGGTGCATTCTAATTTTAACCATATTCTATTGATTTTCTCGCATATCTTCAAACCTTAATTGCGTCTATTATTGACTGAATGAATTGCACACTAAACATTATGAATGATTTATCCATAACTTTGTTAACTATTGACTGGTTGTTCAAAGACATTCTACTTTTAGAGGACCAAGGTTTTTAAAAACGAAATTGTCCCATCCCGTCAAAAAGATTAAAGAAGACAAACCACAGACAATTAAACATCAATCTTCTCAACAATATCAAATAATTAAGCATGCACACAAAATACAAAATACCAAACAACAAAGAATGCTACAACATCTTTTTTCCCCCATGTTATCGATGTCATTCTTTCATGCAAACCTCCTCAATAATAGTATTCATAAGATTTTTTTTTTATTTCATATGGTCAACATTATAACTGACAAATGAGGAGGACACTTATATTGTACATGGTGAGTACAAGTATACGTAACATACTTGGTCTGTATGGTGTATGTTCTACAACATGAGCACAACTGTCCTGTGATGCCACGAAGATGTACAAGCATACCTAGTACATGTATGGATGCAGTGTTCATTCTAGACAGCCATGTGACCCAATCTTTTAACAAGAATGATTCAAGAACTACCCCCTACTTGCAGCAGTTGGACATCTTTTATACCTCAAAAGGCATTATGTCATGACAATAAGATTTGTCAATGTGGTCCACTTGCCTGTGTTTATACAGAAGTGAACAATGTGATACATAGGGAAGCATCATAATGTGAGTGAACTTCACTACAGTTGTATGTTATAGCACAGGAAAAGCTTATCACTTTTGGAAGCCTTGTTGTAATATGTGTCATGTAAACTTTGGTCATTAATACACAATTGTATGATTGGCTTAAGCCAGCATGGGCAGATGTTTCTATCTACATGTAAGTAAATACAACACAGCGGGAGTGTCAAGTGTCTAAATACACAATTAAGTATTTAGTGAAACAACTTCTTGAAAAGGCGTTATTTGCAATGGAACAGTCAAACCCAGATTTTACCATTTATGAATTTGGTAATTAGACATGTACAGCTTTGCTGTCAGTGGACGAAACATCAATCTGGACCAACTCCAAATCTACATGATTTAAGATAAGTAGTTGGCTTTCTTTTTCTTCTTGTGTTTTGAATGAACAGAAAATCAGTGACTATTGAAAGCACAAAAATCAAATAAATTTTGAATTCCTAACATCCTGACACACCAAGCTGTGAAGAAGAACCAAGTAATTTGGAGTGTCCCTTTTGAAAATGGGACCCTCTTTTTCAAATGACACCACTTTTTTGTCACAAGTTATCTCATTGTGCCCTTCATTTTTGTCAGTTTGAATGAACACTGCAGTAGCTGCCAAACATACAACATCAGCATAATAGTTTATACTTGTGTATCTAGCAATGAATGGAGTGAGGGAGGTTTCGCACCACATTTTACAATATTCCAGCAATATCATGGCAGGGGACACCAGAAATGGGTTCACACACACCCATGTGTGAAAATGACCCCAGTCCTTCAATAACCAAATGTTTTAACCACTACATTACCCTACTGACCAAAAATGAAAGGAAAAGATATAACAAATTAAATACAAACTGAAAGTGCTTCTTACAAATAACCTACCAAATCTAAGTAAAAATTCTCAACACGAACACCCCAAAACATAATGTTGCTTGCTGAATTAAACATAGGGCAAAAGCAAAATAGAATTGATGTCACTGATCAATGAACTGAATTATAACACTTGTAATGCAATAACGTAATAATGTAAGCATATAGCCAGACTATTTTTCTAATGATTTGTTGAACACTGGTTTATTAAAACCACAGCTTTATATATGTCCATACTTGTATTTACAGTTTGCTATGTCCATGCTGCAACAAAGCAAGTCCCCTGCAACATGATGCTTGATACAACAGGACACTAACAGGACAACCACCTTAACCCTATAACTACTGGGACACTGCACTGACATACAGACCTGTTACCAATGTGCTCCTTTTGGATGCTTTGTGAGGGGAAAGAAATGATAACTTTGCAAAATAAACCAATATGATGATGAACAAAGGAGAGAGAGAGAGAGAGAGTGAGTGATAAAAGTCAAGTAAACATGTTAATAGAGAAACATGATAGTCCTATTGCAATCTTGAAATCAACATGCAAAATATACTTTCTGTTCTTGAATGGTATTCTAAACTGAACTTTTTGGATAATTTTGTAATCAAAACAAAGGCCACAAATGTTGTGATACCATTTCACTTATTTCAAAATATTTGAAAGCTTGAGACAAAAAAAAGATATTTTCAAGGAAACACTTTTTTGCTTATATATTGAAAACAGTGTCGAAAGATAAAAAAAACAGGTGCCACTGTCAAAAGTGTAAAATATTAACCGAATCAGAACATGAACCATACAGTTGCTGCTTCAACTCCTACTGAAATATTTTCTTCCAAGAAACTGAGGACAAAAGCACTTTCAAATGTAAATGACTGTTTTATTTGGGTCTGAAATGGTTTTGAGCAGTATGTTATATATCAGGGCATGTCTGACAGCTTGATCTGGGAGGAAAGATGAAAGAGATGTAGGTCATAGACATTTACTAATTTCTTCATTTTAGAGAACAACTGACGTACAAAGAGTGAATGAATGTGAAAATATGAAACATTATTTCTTGTGGCCATACTGAAAATCGGATTCAAAACATCTTAAACAAACTGGGATCATCATTTTTATTTTTAACAAGTATGTGAATTTTGCTTTCATAGCTACTGATATTTTTGTGTAAATTTTTTTTATGACAGGTGGCAGATGAAGCATGAAGGACACCATACAAACAAGGCTACGACATAACCTCACTTGACTTTCAGACAGGTGAGCTTAAAGTCAAAAGGCTCAGTTTTCATGATTCTTGAGTTAAAACACGCACAAGCCAAAACATTTGAAACTGCAATCTGGATTCAAATGGAAATATGTATTTGGATTAATCATATCAATATTTCATTACTTCACAATAACACAAGAGTGCAATAGGACTGAAAAGTCAATCAGTAGTGATAACTAAGGCAAGAAAAGCTAAGCCAAATTATAACAAACAGCACCATATGAGACATACCACCATCATTCTTGAGCTGGTAGGTCATGAGATCGGGCGTGCTTGCTGAGCCCAACAGTAAACTAGTACTTAATAAGCCTGTGGAAAATAGGATGTGAGTACTTATATGGGAGACACTGCAGTTAAGAAATCAGGCTAACTGCCCTACTGAAATACTGTTTTCTATGAAAAGAAGACTAATTTGATCTACATACAGTTTGTGTGTATGACTAACTATTGCTCATTGATATTAAGCGGAGATTGAGATCCTGATGGTGTTAGTGTCAAATCACTTTGAAAGTTCTGTTACATTATTATTTTTAGCAAACACAAAAGTATCGTTTTATGTAAAAACTACCATTTAGATCTGGGTGTACAAAGTGATCTTATGACTAAAGTGATTTTAACTCCCATACCTTAAAATAGAAGTACAACAGTCTTAGTGCTAAGGTTGTTTTGAACAATGGCTCCCAAGGAGATACCTTAGACTTACGCAGTTTCTCAAATCAGTGAAAACTCTGTGTTAATCCTTTCTGCTTTAAATCCTAAATACACTCAGCTGTCGATAATATATGTATGTCTTATGTATATAATCAATATATTGAGATATTTTAGTTGATATATTGACACTCAAATTTTCAATCAATGACACACCTACATATTAAACATTAAATATCCTATTATTCAAATCACTTCATTTTCCAAACATTTATGAACTTCTGAGACAGTGATTTACTATCAGTGTGAACTGATAACATTACAAAGTGTTATGGTGCTATTTCAAAGATAGCTATTGTAAGTTTTCCAGTTTAGAAGCATATATAGTTCCCAGTGCATATTTTCATATAACCTGGACATAAAAGGCTGTTAAATGTTAGGTTATCCCATATTAGGTACTATTGATAAAAGTTAAATAAAAAAATACCGGACAAAACACTGCACAGTAGCAAAGAGCCTCCTGACAGAAAGATAACCAAATTATTAACAAAGAAATCATAAAGAGTAGACAAGAAAATCATTAGAACACTTGCAGAAATGAAATTATTGTATCAGTTAAGATACTTCATATATGCATTTCCAATGGATGAAATCATAAATAGAGATGGGAGTATGAGGATGGAGATTATGACGATACAATGATAATGTTGACATGTATCAGAATATTAATGCTCATCATATTCAAAGCTTGGCAAATGTACTCAAATGCATGTGTTAGCATATAGCTTTAATAAATATATGTTCAGTGTCTTTAGAGGTACATGAATTGGCAATGTGTGTGTGTTATACATATTGTTAATCAGCATATAACTATAGCAGGGAATGAAAAATCCCATACTATTTAAGGCATCATAACATCTGTAACACATCAGATATTTAATTATGTCTGGAACTAGATTTGTTGGATGTCAGGTAACATTTAAAATTGTAAGAATATATTATAAGGTGCTGTTTCCATTATTACAAACTACTTTTCAGTTTGAGGTTACAGGCTATCACCTGCGATTCAAGTACTGTATATAAAATATACCGGAAGCAGTTGTAGGCAGATCATACCCATTTAACCAGAAGCAGGGATAATGTGGATTCATCTAGTCCTAGAACTGGGGGTGTCACGATTGAGCTACTTCACAGGTACAATTCATTACACTTATTTGTACCACATGAGGTTGTTCATAGCAATTAGTCAGATTTACTAACATGCATGGTAAACTAAACCTCATTATGATATACTTTGGCAATCAATTTAATCATTTGTTTCCTGAGAGAATGTGTGGTTAAACAAGCCTGAATAGTTGCAAAACTTATTCAGGTATAAATTTATTATCAACACATGAGTTAATCGTGACATCCCTACATAAGCCTCATGGGGTAATTTATTTATAAGAAAACAATCATGAAAACGCAAAAAGCCAAACTGACTTACACAGTTAAGAAGAATATTCCTATCCGGAGAAATAATGAGATGGTGAAAAGCTACAGAGTATGAGGGTAGTTTTGGGAGTTTTCATTGTTGAACTAGGAAGGTGGAGGAACCAAGTACAGGTTTTTGTTTGGGGAAGTTTTCCAGGTGTAAGGTATCCGAGGGAAACAACAGCATTACACACTTACAGAACAATATTAACACAAACTTTCAAACCAAAGCATATCTTAAATGGGTCCAGGTTAACCAATGCACACATTATTGAAATATCCATGCATATGAAAAACAAAAAGAAGTTAAGACACTCTTGTGTGCTTAGTTTAGAATTTTGTTACAAAGGACAGGTGCAAACTAGCTAATAATGTATCATTAACATAAACAAACGGTACCAATTTCATTGATTTGTAAAGCAAGCCAGAATTGCATCATATCTGGGTCATCTGCAAAATGATTAAACTGACATGAAGAAATAAATTAAAAACAATAACAAGAAATAGTGACTACACACTGAAACAATACAACTTTCAGGGGGAGATTTGAGGTGGACTTTTCAAATCAAATGGATAACAGAAGTATGCAATTTGACAATCTCAATAAAATTTTATCTTAATTCCTACTACCACTTTGCAAAAGATCTAAGGGACATCTTACTACTGGTCCTGTCAGAACAACCTCTCGTCAAACAGATCAAAACGTTAGTAACCAGAGTGGGAAAATGACAGTTTGAATGTGCTTTCTAATTACTCAACCTTGAAAAGGTGAATACATGTACAAGGTATTTGGAACTGTAGTTACAGGCTAAACGACTGATTGACTTAAAATCCTTTCTGTAGACAGGGAAGTTAAGCAAAACAATTTGGGTAATCTATTTGACATTCCAGAATGTTTATCCATCCAGTTCATGAATTTAAAATTTGTTGTCTGCAATGAAAGTGACCACTTTGAAACTAGTGCCATAAAGCTAATTAAAGCTGCTTTCTGATTGGATACGGTCAATTTTTATTAGTACTTTCACCCGTTGGTCAAAGTTGCAAAAGGCTGTTCTGTCAAGCCCTGTAATTAAATGTCCTCCAATCAACTTGTAGGGGCAGCAAGCACTAAGATCTGATTTCAGTGAGAGATGTATTGGCAGTTTGATGGTCATGTCTATTCAAAGAGAGTTGTTGTGGATACTGATGTTTCTTGCATGACAAATATAAGCCTATGTATGGTCTTCAATGATTTTTGATGAAATACTGTTAACATCATGTTCTTCTGCATTTCCAAAGTTGGAGAAGAACCACTTCACTGAATGTTTTTTGACAAGGTTTTGTTTATGCTATTTCAACTTGTTAACACAATAGTGATCAAACATATATCTACTTCCATGCTGTAAGTTTACAAACTAATACGTTTCTACATTAATCAACACATCAACATCAAGCAATGTTACATTAACTACATTTGAATGGAAAGCAGTTTTCTGATTATTGACCATAAGCCAATGACAACCTTTTTCTCATCCTTGACAAATCTTGACTGTTAGTCCCCCTTATTATAAATGATAATCTTTGAGGAAATATATACAAAAAATACAAAAACATCCATCCTAAAATAAACATCCTGGGCCTATTTGTTTGAGAAATAAAAATATATCCTATGTTTAATATGCAGCTTCAGCAAGCAGTTGAAGGAGTGTGAATGGGAACACAATTAATGGTGATATTAGTAACATTTGACACACATCTTCAAGCAGACAAAAGCTGTAAATGAAATATCATATCAAGTATATACATCCTTAGATTTCCAGTATTATTTATTTCCTTGAAGTGTCATTACCATAACCCTTAATCAGCAGGACAGGACATTGGGGCATAATGATCAACAATTATTGAAAGGAACTCAATCTAAATGGTTGATCAGTTAAAGTTGGGTCTTCACTGTATGATTGAACATACTCCTTTTGAATGCACATTCTGTCCATTTAAACATTCAAGCAAGATAGGCTACTGAAATTGTCAGAATCTACAGTTTGTGGAGGAGCCATAGTCAACATTCATAGCGAATGAATAAGAGTGAAATATGTTGAATTTCACATTCAGTAATAAATCTGGGTTAGATGAAAGAAGCAAGGTACTCCGAAAAGAAACTAGAATATCAGATGGCTGTTATCATGCTCATAAAATCATATTTCCTTTTAGACTGTATGGTCACTACTTAGCAATTTTTCAATGTGCAAAGCTCCAAATATAGACACTTGGGTGACAATGGTCAAAAACTACTCTTGCCAAACAGGGAAAGATCTTAACTTACAATTTTTTTCTAACACCTTTCAGTTACCATAACAAAATCTATATTCCAGCAACAAAATTGACAACACAAAGGTTAAGAGGAAACAGAGACATCAGAAGCATAAAAAGTACTGGAAATTTAAGGATGATATTTTTTATAAGGGTGATCCTGGGTATTTAGCTCTAGAGACTGGCAGTGCTTTCCGAAAATGAATAAAAATGCCTAATAGCATCAAAAGAAGAATTGAGATTACTCAGGGTTTTAGATGTTTTCCAAATATATCATTAAAACTATTAGTGATGTAATTAGTTAGTTTCTCACACTGGTTACTTTCATAATAATTTGAAAGTAAGTCCACACATGGAAAATTATCTACTTTATGAACTATAAAACACTCATGACCTACTTTAAGTCTTGTAAAGATATATGAAATGTCATTTACGGATGTTATCTTGAAGAATTTCGAAAATGGGTCTGTATTAAGAGGAATATGAGGGTGTAGGAATGAAAGTGTTTTTAATGCATACCAATATCTGGAACACACAAACAAACAGGATTAATTATTGTAACATAAATTCTATTCATATACATCCATAACAATTTACAAGAAATAAGAAAATTAAAGAAAGAGTTTGATGCATTTAAATTAACCAAATGACACACACACAAAAAGAGGTAAATTGATACTCCATTGTATTAAAAATATGTTCCCTTTAACATAGTCTGCATATCTTTTTTCTCAAATAAAAGTCAGTCCTAATGACAGATTTGAAAACTTAACCCTGACTGGTGCATTAATTATGAAATAAAAATGTATGAAAAATATAGATGCATAAACACAACTATCCTTAACTTGGATATTATAAATGAAGCATCAATGTGAGAGATATGAAAAAGAAAAAAAACAACACTATGGCTAAAGAACAATGAAAAGAAACCCTATGTTTTAGTTGGTCTGCCAAAGCATTCACTTGGATGATAATTTTGTGCTTTGTTAATGTCACAAAGTGAAATGTATGCAAAATACACAAAGCTACGGCATTCACTGAGTAGGATGAAAAATGATGCAATGAAACAGCATTCAAATGATATTTGATTAAAGGAGTAGATATAGAGCAAGCTAAGTTAATGCATAATTCCGTGCTTCTGATAACCGACTTAACATAGAAAATACATCTTCTTACCTTTAAACACATCAGTGCTGAGGTAGAAAAGGCTCGAAAAGGAATGATGTTGCCGAGACGATAGCGGTAAGTTGACAGTTTTGTAGTGACGTTGTACATATGCTGCAAGAAATAAGCATGTGTTAAGAACAGCTTATGGGTATTGTTTCATGTTCTGTAATATTGCAACCAACCAAAATATATTTTAAGGGAGTACTTTACTAGAAGATAAGATAAAGATGGTGAATGGGTATACATTATTTGAATCTATCATATTACATGTGTAAATTCCGCTGAGTCTTTGTACATGATCAGGTTCTCACCAAAGGTAAACCAACCAAAATACCCTCTATAATGTGACAGGCAATTGAAAAATAATGTCCATTATTCAAATCAATACTATGATTAGAAATACTTTCTCTGATAACAAAATACACTGCAGTACCTGTAGATTACTGTCAACTTATCTCCTCATCAATACATATATGTACTGCAAATATTTATGTAAATAAAAATTATCCAGATTTGTAATTGTGATGGGTTTTTCTTTGTAAGATGTCCGGTGTCTACATGTTTTCTATTATCATACACTGATAATCAGTCCGTACAAAATAGCATGAAGTGATAAGTGAGCGTATGTTAATGTTGACATTTGTTTCTTATCACTAGATCAATCAGTGTCTCAACTTTGGCTAACTAAGCAACAGTATTTGTTCAATATCCTATCGATTAGAATTAACTTCATTCTCATCACTTTAAAAAATTGTAATATGTATGGTGGGTAGGGATCATAATATTATTCAACCAATAATGGTAGCCAGACTATTTCCACCATGACAAGTGACAATCTGTCAAACACCAAGTGATAAGGAATTCCTTAAAAAGTAAGGACCAGGGTGTTAAAAGGATACAGCTGACAACTTGACAGTCATTACCATGCAATGAAATATTTTTAGTCAAACTAAGATAACTAGTGTAATAAATACTTGATAATGGTGTAAGTACCTAAACCGAAACTCATTGCAAGAAAGAACTTGGTTTTCCTTCATCTTTACAACTTCCAAAATGCCTTTCAAACAAGTAGTTTAATAAAGGCAAACAGTATATGGAGACATATAATAAATGCAATGAAATATGTTGCATTGTAAGTTAAAACATTATAGTGTGAAAACTAACAAACAAGGAGTTAGCCTATACATTAATATCATTATGACAACACTGAAATCAACATTTAACAGTGTACTTAAGTGCTGATTCTTTTCCCTAAAGACACTTATCATCCCAGAGTTGTTGGAGACAGATCTTGAATTTTATATTTAAAAAATTGACAAAACTGATTACTTTTCCTGGTTACTTGAAAGTTATTTTCACAAGATAATAAGATTATTCGACTTATCATCTGGAAACATATATCAGGCCAGTTTCTGGTAATTTGACCTAATTTTATCATACAAGATTTGCATAAGGAGACTTTCTAAAATCCAAACTTGATATGACCCATCAATATTTGTTCAGTTATCAAATAGAATACCAAAGATGTCAAGAAATTAATGATGACTGATGACAAACACCTGTGATACTGACTCTTGGTGTTCACACCATGATATCCAACAAATGTTATACAAAATATGATACCAAACAAAATATTGTTAAAATTATGAAAAGTCCTGTGATGAATGACTCCTTTCTAACACCATCCATGCAAGGTGTCTTCATAGATTTGCTACATGCATACCTTTACATCAGCTAAGTTTGACTTTATGACATTCTTAAGATGAAAATATGTAATTCGTTATCATGACAAAATGTGACTTCCTTTCGATAGTGATGTGTAAGGTTATTGAGTGAGCAAGTGAGTGACCAGGAGAGGTTTTATGACGTGGCAATGGTTGACAGCATGAATCCACACCATGAAAGCCAAGATAAGGTCTTCCTTGGGTGTCCACCACATATTTACTACAGTCAAATCCATACTAACAAGACTTGACGACTACTTATACCCATGTGTCTTAAAGGTACTCTTTATCCACTAATTCAGTTGCTAAAATCATGCCATAACAGTTAACTCACAAGTGTACTTTGACTTGTTATGTTTTATTAATTCTACTATGGAAAAGGCTGCAGCTAAAGTCACATTTCAAACACAATTCCACTGCAGAAACATGTTTTCAAGGACTTCTTTATTCAGTGGGAAAAAAAAAAGAACGACAAATGTTCATTTGAAGAGACCTAATAATCAGATGAGAAACTCTTTGACAGACTGAGTAAGTTTTTACATTACTTTTAGGAATATTCCAGCAATATCACGGTGATGGACAGTGGACACCAGAAATGGGCTTCACACATTGTACCCATGTAGGGAATCGAACCTGGGTCTTCGGCATGATGAGTAAAAGCTTAACCCACTTGGCTACAGCTCCGCATAGAAGCACTTTAACCTCAACATAATTGATAACCTCTGGCACTCATGATACTTGAACACACTGTCCCAATATCAGTTTCTTCATAATGATTCCACAGTTCTGACCATCACATGTAGCCATTTAAAACATTAATAACACACAAAGAAAAGACAAATAGCCTGATGAAAATGACCATATATAAAATGCACATACTGGACCTTGACAACTACATAATCTACCTATGTTCAGTGGTCAAAACAAGTGTAGAAGTGAGCAAAGATAACATACCCCCGCTTCCCACTTTGGGACATGGAAATGACTGATATTGATATATATAATGTGACAAGGATCAGCAGCTCACAAGACTTTCTCTTTGACTCTACTAAACTTTATATACATGTTAGATAATAGTTTTGGCATGTACTGATTATGGTAATAATTTATGGAAACCAGATATTTTTGTGTTTTCCGTGGAAACCTGACATACAATTGAACTTGACTGTCTCATGTTGAACACAATGAACTGGACGTAGATGAAGATTGCTATTTTTTAGCACATGGCATATCTGTGGGTCATGATTAACTTGTGTATTAAGTTTGGTGAACCTAGCATGTATAGTTTCGATGATATGCCTTGGTCAGGTACACATCAAATACATTTTGCATGTACATAGCATGTAAACTTTAAGAGATATGCTCTGGACAAAATAATCGAACACATTTGGCACTAAGTCATGTTTCCATGGAAACAGCAAAAATAAAATTCATATCTGGATCTAAACCCCAAAAGGCACATCTAGGGATCATGCTTGATATGTGTACCAAGTTTGATGAAGCTAGCATGTATAGTTTGGAAGATCTGCTCCGGACTAGATGACATCCTCATAGTCACATCCTTAGTCATGTTTCCATGGAAACAGCAAAAAAACTAAATTTGGAAAAAACTTTAAAATAGCAAAAGGCACATCAATGGGTAATGATTAACATGTGTGTGAAGTTTGGTGAACCTAACATGTAAACTTTAAGAGATATGCTCTGGACAAAATAATCAAACACATTTGGCACTAAGTCGTGTTTCCATGGAAACAGCAAAAGCACTAAATTCATGTAAACTTTAAGAGATATGCGTTCTGGAAAAAAAAATTAAAATAGCAAAAGGCACATCAATGGGTAATGATTAACATGTGTGTGAAGTTTGGTGAACCTAACATGTAAACTTTTAAGAGATATGCTCTGGACAAAGTTTATGCAGACGGACAGACGTAAAGCATGTGCAAATATCATGCATGGAGCCGGACAGAATGATTCGCCAATTTTCACTGAGTTTCATCATTTATATATAATAATACTCAAGTGATGTATATCATATTATAGCAATGATAGTAACTGCAATGATGTTAATGCCTGATCAAGCTAAATGGGACCACAGCTGTCCTGTTGATCAAACTTGTACACATTAAAGTAATAAGCATTTCTTTTGAGATGTTAATACCTGTTTGTGTGAGTTAAATAAACAAGGAGAGACAAGTCACATGTTACTGTTGACCATACAAGACACATGTGTTTCAAACCACAGCGAGTGAACAGCAAGCTTTTATGGTTATGCTAAATTAGTAATGTCACTGCAATATCATAGAAGTCAGAACCAGGCACAACAGCTGTCTATACAGTTCTACACACCACAAACATCATGACACAAGCTCCACAAATGAAAGTGACTCATTGTCATCGCCATTCCATAAAAAATACTTTATTACACTATACATGGTGGTAGAGCGAACTGTATTTCTTAAATACATGTATGGTATAGATAATATACTTTTAAGCATGAATGACTGATGTAAGGTGGGATTTTGAGGTAATTCTAAGGTGACTCTAATTAATAATTTTTAATCATAACACGAACTCCAAAGCCTCAAGGCTATCAAAGATTGGCATTCCAATGTCAGACTGAAAAACTTCAGCCATTGCCACTTTGAAGTTTATTCCTTCCCAAAAACAGAATTGTCAGTTTTACCAGTATCCACAATTGTATTTGTCTTAATGATACAAATAGCCATCCTTTTTTTAAACCCCCAGGTCTGGTAATGTGAAAACATTGTATCCATTCTGTATTTGTATTTGTATGAGCATGCAACACCATATTGTGCATCTGGTAGAAACAAGTATATCATGAAAAAATGTCAATGTGAAGCTTTTCTATTAAGTAAGCTTTCCAGAGTATAATAAATATAATATGATTTCTCTCTTTATCTTTTACAAAGAGGATACTCTTTCCTTAGTGGAATGTTTTCATATTTTCATTCATCATTAACAAAACCAACCAACACTACTGCTGGGTAAGGAGTGAAACTCACTGTGTTATAATAACTAACTTCTGAAATACAACCAAACACCCATCAGATGATAAAAGTAAAATAGCAATAGTTTTTTAACAAAAAAAATCAATCAGCTAGAACCATCTAGTGTGCCAACTACTGGGTATACAACAGCTTGATAGGTACAAGCACAGAGTCTGAAATGAAAGGAGATGTACAAACAGCAAGGCAAGTTCCATATTGGAGAGTGAATGTGGGTAACGAGCAATATAAACAAGCAGGCAACATGAGCAGGTCACAGCTCAATTCTCACCTGGTTCAGATGTGTTATCACCATTAGAGTTTTTGTCCTCTAGACTTCGGCTGCGCTTTTTTTCTGCATACCATAAGTTTAATATCAATAAGTTTACCTTTCCAATTCCAAGATCAGGGCCCCGTTCCTCAAAGCCTCCACTACGACTTCCGTAACTCCTATTCTCTAACACAGACTTATGACAGTCGTAGCACTACGATGGTTTTGTGGAACGGATGCGATGGTCATTATGAAAGTTCATATCCTGAAACATTCTGATAGCTTTTGTTTGAGAAAGAGACCATTTTATATAAAACATCACTACATTTAAGGGAGCTAACATACACTTTCAAAATTCACACGTCTAATTATTGTCACACTGGAAACCATACCCATTATGCAATAAGCAAACAAACACAAACAAAATGCATGACAGTACAATTGGCAAAAGTATCTTTTGTTTGTTATCTTGAACATTAGAGGAAACAAACACCCTTTAACATTCTTCTAAGTTTGTTTTTCTTAGAGGGATAACATTTTCCCTTTATGAATCTATGCAAATGTTTGAAAATATTCAATGCATATGGGTCATTAGAACTTAGCCAACACTGGAAAGTTGGAAAAACGCATTTTCAAAATGTACTCAAGCATGATATAAAACCATGCAAAAGACCTAACTGTAAACTCTAGCATGCAGTGTGACAACGTACCTGGGTCTCTAACAGAGTCAATAGATTTATCATCAAGGCTACGACTCTTCTTGTCATCCAAATTCTGTCCACCATTTGTTCCTGCCAAGTGAATAATATATATGTCTCACAATGATGAGTGTGCCACAGTGATCCAGAAAATGGTGTTACAAGCCAAAGATGAAGCAGAAGAAAATGCAAGGTACCATCTCAAAAGCACCAAAAAATACCATACCCACTTGTAAGCTATACAGTGTCCGAAATTAAGTGTGGAAGTCAAGGGGTCCTCAAAATAATCCTCATGTTAAGAGGTAAAGATTTTGGGGTCCCTTGATTCAGACACTACAGCTGTAAACCAAAAGGACTCCAGGACCTCCCTTAATATCGAACACTGCTGTAGAAGGACAGGAAGGAAAGACTGATGGCTGTAATAGACATAGGGCTTGCTAACTGACACATTCTGAATCCACACAGGTAGTAACAGGTCTTAAAATTCCATTATGTATGGCCAAACATAGCATAAACACATGACTTTTAAGGCCAATGTTATAATTGCTTCAAAAAATATATTAGATTTCAAAAACTGAAAATTGTATATAGTTATATACTTATTCTATCTTACACATGTATTTCTTCCTTCTTCGACACTAGAGTGGAAACGCTCCTAAGACAATGTAATACTGAAGCTGTGGTGGCTGAACAGGTTAGGCGTGTGCTGGCGATTAGATGTCTGACTGTGGGTGTGGGTTCGAATCCCAGATGGGACTCAACCCAACAAAAGCACTAGAATCTGTACTTTACTAAGAAAGTGTAATCCCAAATATAACATGTTACATTTGACCACTTTCTAAATGGCATTGTGTATTCACTAGTAAGACAAGTTTCCAGATTCAAAACATCTCATCCCAACACATGTTCACTGTCGCCCCATAAACAATGGGCAGAACACTGCCTGTATTCTGTGGAAACTGATTGCATGATGTTCCAAGCACACTCATTCTCTTTCAGGTTAAGGACATGAATATACAATTCATTGTGAACATCACAAATCCTGAAAGCCTAGCTGATCTGCAAGACATGTTGGATGGAGCTACAATACAGAAGCTGCTGGTTCAGGATGAAGGAGAATCCTGAGAATCTACATCCCTACTCCCATAGCCCAAAGATCAATTCTCTTCAGCACTTCCACCAATACATCAAGGTAATTAGAAATAAAATGAGTGCGCTGGGAACATCATGTAATCTAGATTCAGTTAGTGCCATAGTGTTCAGCCCATTGTTTATGGGGTGATCATGTGACAGTTGGGTGTTAGGGTTAGACTTCTGAAGCAGGAAAGTGATCTTAGGGGTGTTTCAACATTTGGATCGAAGACAAAGGATGAAATGCATAGTGTGCCATAGGATAAATTTCAAAATTATTGTTTCCTGATGAAAGTTGCACATAAAACAACTGATCAGCCCTTCAATATGGTTACAGCCAGATAGAATGCAGAATCTGTAGAAATAAGATGTCCTTAATGTGTGACAGATTACCTGATGGGCAACTTCCACTCAGTTTGTTACTGGAAGAGTTTCTTGAGATGGCAATGGGTTTCGAGACACTGTTTGTAGATAGGGTCTCATCAGACTCCCTTGTTCCAGGCACTTGCTTTTCTTCATCTGTGTCAGGACTTGAAACTTTTGTCTGTCATCACAAAAACAAATACTTATCCATCTAAAGACCCTATCTTGTGACTCAATAAGTCGATCTATTTTTCAGTCCATAGGACATTCAATGGATTCATTTAGTGTGGCATGAACATAGTATGTTTCATGGATGCCAACATGTGTCCAAATTCATACCTTGAAGAAGAGAGTACTTACGATATTAGTATTCTTGTGATAGCGTATTGCAAACTCCCTCTGTCTTTGATAAAAAACACAGAACCCCAAATGTTCCTCTCTGTCCACCACGTAACCAAACAGTTATCTCCCCTTGAACCCAAAAATAATTCCTCTCATCTGAGAACAAATGGAAACCCCCACACAGCTTAAGGCAGGTAGACGTTTACAGCTCTTGTATTAGGAGAGGTTCATCAATATCATAAATACTCCAAAGCAAACTCATCCCAAAGACAGCATCAATGTCTGTAGTTTGTGTTGCTGATCTGTTGGCAACCAGGGTGCCGTTGTACAAAGAGATCTTAGAGCTAAGGAGACCGTAACTCCCATACCTTAACATGGTCTTACGACAGACTTAATGCTAACATTGTTTTGTATGGCACACTGGACCAGATTATGTCATGGACTAGACTTAAGACTCCTCCAGCTCCCATGTGACCTGTTGCATCTTACCTCAGTAGAATCATCCGTCCCCCAGTCCCACTCAGGCATGTTTGACTCTGCTATCTCATTTGGCTTTGATTCTTGTTGTAGGTACATGTTCTGTTGAAATACAGCTTGATAATTAACAATAATATGGGAAATTTGTGTGAACAAATGAGCTGTAAATACATTATTTTGTTGGTTTTAAGTAACAGATTTACCAGAGCTCCAAATATATACTTGATTTAAACACATAATATACATTACTTGGTTTGCATCTGCCCAAGTGTGCATTAAATATTCAAAATGTATTTAAAAAATGATGGTATAACAATATTGTGCTGAAAAATTTACTGAATATGCTAAGTGAATGTTAACTTGTAAGTAGATAATCATGGCTCAAGTTTACCAGAGCTCTGAATATACCTTTCAAAACCATTATAATTTCACCTATCACAGTAAGTTAATTAATGAGGGCTTTTACCTCCAGGGACTCCATAATGGTTGCTTGATGTTCTGAATGTGAGAGTCGTGGCTTCATAAAGGGGTCAGGAGGTAAAGTGTAATTCTGCCAGGATGCTGAGCCCTTTATAGAACCTTCTACAAAACCCTTCTCCTTCTGTCATGAAAGAGAATCAGAAGCTACATTGTTGACAATATTGAACAATATTAATACTATCTTAAGAATTTTTTCTATTACTTCATATATTCTTAGATGAGTGAGTGAGTGAGTTTAGTTTTACACCAGTTTTAGCAATATTTCAGCAATATCATGGCAAGTAACATATTGCTAGATGAAGGCTCACGATAAAATTGGTCATACTGAGCCAGTTAATAATATTTAAGACATTCGTAAACAACAGCTATGTTTCTGAAAATAGTGAAAGTGATCTGGGTTTAAATTACTAGGGCTGCTATGATTACTGACAGATAAACAGTGAAATGAACCATATCCAATTATGAATTAAATTAATTATTTGTGATTGCTAGAATCAACTATTCATAAATTCTTTTAAAAAGAAGTGTTTTTACATTAGTTTTGAATGGTCCTTATCAAAACAAGATACTAGTATGCAAATTGGCAGGATAATGGCCAACCATTGACAGCAATGTGACCACAGATCACTGTCCTGATGATAAATTAGCACTGGTCATAACATGTCAGAAAAATAGTATGTTATCATTTCACTGAATATATTGAATAATACATAATATGGACTTGTTACTGTATCGATTACTCAATATTCATATTCATTACAAAATATTTGTGATATCATCAGATATCTGCCTCATTGTGGCAATAAAAACTACTGTCATAACTATAGGTGATAACTTTGAGGTGAAAGACAAGACAGACATATATATATCTCCTGTGTGACTGCACCAAGAGAACACAGATTAAAGTTACCAGTTTGCTACATATGAATCAACATATCTTCATGTTACCTTGTCTGATTTTGGATTAGGTCTGTATCCCATACTACAGGAAGGAGCCAGACTGGTATCACAGCAAGTATAGGCACCAGGACTGAAGTGGAGCTCCATGTGGAAGCGCTCATCTGAGTTGGGATCCTGATTCAAATAAGTATTCATTTTTCTTAAAAATCAATCTTACAAAAGGATTTTGATAAGTTTTGATAAAAGTTGATGCCTTAATCCTAATGTTCAAAATAAGAATGCTCAGATATCTGTAGGTTATGAACTCCAGCAATAAAATTGAGGACTCCGAAAACCACAATTTCCACATCATTTCAGTAATAAGCTATCATCAGTATTCATGAGAGTTGTATCTTCATATCCATGTTTCTTTAGGATAAGATGTTTTCTTGATATAAATTACCTGAACTGTACATTTATGGAATTCAGAACAATCAATTTTCTTGGACATTTTCTGATTGTCATAAAAAAAGGCAATGACATTGACAATCTGTTTCTTAAAAATCAGCATCTTAGAATTTCAGTAAAACAACAGTGTCTAGTTATGTCCAAAAACAATGGAAGGAAGTATTGATTGATTGTTGTTTAATGCTGCACTCAGCCATATTCCTTCTATATGGCGACAAACTGTAAATAATCGAGTCTGGACAAGAGAATCCAGTGATCAACAGAATGAGCATCGATGAACGCAATTGGGATGTGATGACATATGTCAACCTAGTCAGCAAGCCTGACCACTCCATCCCATTAGTCGCCTCCTTCGACAAGCATGTGTTACTAAAGACCATTTCTAACCCAGATCTTCACGGGAAAGGAAGGAACAAAAAACATACCCTATCAAAGATTTAAATTTTACTTTCTATATTAATGTGAAATATACCTTGCTAGGGTCCTCAAACATCATTAAGACAATTTGGGTCATGTAGTTGAGCTCTGCTGTTGCACTGAGGAAGTCCATAGCCCTCTTCCACTGCTCATCTTTCTTTGGCTACAGAGATAGAAATTCATCATAATTACAGTAAAACCTGCGAACACCGGCACCTGTCTAAACTGGCACACTGTCAAAACCAGTCCCGCCATTTTACAACGATATTATGATCATTAAAACATTCTCTAATCCCGCACCTGTCCAATCCATATTCCCGGCACAACTTTCCTGGGCCAACAAGCAATTTTAACTGTAATTTACACTGTCTAAACCAGCATGGGTATGAGCAGTCCAATACACTAATTAATCCTCTTGGCACGCTAGATAATCAGGAAATGGGTCTTGTGTTTCGTGCGTTACCTGACAAGACACTACTAAGACTGATGCTGCTAAAGGTGGCAAAATTTCAAGTACCGGCAAGTAATTTACAGTGTAAATGGCAGCCATGTTGGAAAATGATCATCACTGTCTAATCCAGCACCCTGTCTAAACCGGCATTTTATTTCGGTCCCGTGGGATGCCGGTTTAGACAAGTTTCACTGTATGTTGTCAGGATTGCAAACATCATTGTAACAGAATTCAGCTGGAAAAAGAATCTGAATGAATTCTTCTACTGACTGCCTCTCTACATTTGATGTTCAGGGTTAAATATTCTTTCCAGTGGAAACAAAACAAAATCTTACTACCAATTCTGGTTGTAGATTGACAGCATAAATATAATACCTTGTAGAGATTATTCAAACATAATCTCAATGAACAAGTCATCAAAATCAGATTAGAATGGAATCCAAATGCTACTTAACAATGTAAATGACACATATAATGTGTTTATGCCTCAGAGAATTGTTATTAAAATATATACAATACAAGTGTTTGCCACTAATAAGGCAATGTCCCCCGGCCCTAAAGAAAAACGAAATATTTACATATTTACTACTTTTTGTATTTTTGTCAGATAAAAGATGCCTAAACTGACTGGTGTCTGTATAATCACCCAATGATTAGGCTGTCAACATAATTGAAAACATTGGGTACAACAGTTCATGAGGTATCGCGTTAATAAGAGTTTAAAAAGTGGTCAAAGTGGCGTATTGACCTTGAAAATAAGGTCAAGGTCACCCAAAATCGACTGGTGTCTACATAATCCCCTAATGTAGGCTGTCACCAAATTTGAAGACATTGGGTACAACAGTTCTTGAGATATTGCGTTAACAAGAGTTTGAAAAGTGGTCAGTTCTTGAGATATTGTCGTTAACAAAGAGTTTGAAAATTGACATTGGTCAACAGTTCGACATGTGTCTACATATCCCCTAATGGTGAGTTTTGAAGAGTTTGATGATAAGGTCAAGGTCACCCAAATCGACTGGTGTCTGTGTAATCCCCCAAGGTAGGCTGTCACCAAATTTGTTGACATTGGGTACAACAGTTCATGAGATATCGCGTGAACAAGAGTTGGAAAAGTGGTCAAAGTGTTGTGGTGACCTTCAAAATAAGGTCAAGGTCACTAAAATCGACTGGTGTCTGCGTAATCCCCCAAAGTAGGCTGTCACCAAATTTGAAGACATTGGGTACAACAGTTCATGAGATATCGCGTTAACAAGAATCGGGACGTACATACGTACGGACAGACGCTGCTGAATACATAGTCCCCCGTTCCGGGTTGCGGCGGGGGACAATAAGCAAACTGATATCATTGATCTTATAAAATAAAAACAAATACATACATCACAAAGTCCTCCATATCTGAGCATTGTGAGCAGTGAGTGTATGTGGCTCTCACTGGTGAAATACAAGCGTGTCCTCACAAATCTCTCTGGGGATGCAACACCTTTAGAATACCTACAAACAGAACAGTTGGAAGTATCAGTGATCACTGAAATAACAGTCATTCAGTTCTTTGTGTCAGTCAGCCGTTTCTTTGTATTAAGAAGCCCTTTCTTTCAATAAGAAAACTCTTCAAAATATGATATACTGAATTAATGGGCAACAACATACAAAGTACATAGGAAGTTCAACATTTTGTTATTCAAAGTTTTACAAAATATTGCTATCCAAAATGTTCACATTGTTCAAATATTAAGATATTGTTAAACAGTCTAAGACTTTCATTTGCAATTTCTGTCAATGGTGAAACATTACCGGGAGTCTAGTCTTGTGGCATTATCATCCATTGTGGAGTCACTGGAGTGTAGACACTGAAGCAAGTCACTGCGTATTTTCCGCATCAATGGGGTGCAGTAGTTTTGGGCTATATGTAGTTTCTCCTCCACAGTGATACCATATTCCTGAAGTAACAAATCTCAATATTAGTGAATGCTGTTGAATCACACAGTATGCATCATTCCCACTGTACCACAATGTCCTGTGATGAACTATGATGAACTCCAGTACCTAGTAATAGATCTGCTATGGCTAACTATAGACAGTCCATTTTCACAATACAATCTAACTGTTTGTATGTAGTTATGCACCATACTCAGCAATATTACCGCTATACGACAGTGGTCTGTAAATAATCAAATCAAACCTGACAAACCAAGAACTGACATCATGAATATGGGTTCCTGAAGACCAATTTAAAACCTTCAATTAAATCTGGGTATACACAAAGTCAATACTAACCAATGAGCTCACACTTGTTTCACTTTGATATTATTGGTTTAGATACAGAAGCAACTAAAAATACATCAGTGAGTGAGTGAGTGAGTTTAGTTTTACTCCGCTTTTAGCAATATTCCTGCAATATCACGGCAGGGGACACCAGAAATGGGCTTCACACATTGTACCCATGTGGGGAATCGAACCCAGGCCTTTGGTGTGATGAGCGAACGCTTTAACCACTAGGCTACCCCACCATCACAAAAATACATCAGAGTAGGCAGACCCATGATCCCTGTGTTGAAAAAGGTTGGCCTTGCCTGGGGAATAATGATGTCGGCAAGAGCTTTAGAACACATGAACAGCTCCTCTGCCCTCTCAAACTGCAATGTCTTCTGGTTGTGCTGTAGGTCATACTTTATGCAGTCATATATGTCAGGGATCTTGCTGATGTCAAACCTCCCTATCTTTGTCTTGTAATCCTTCTCCAACTTGGCCCATCTTCGAATCAGCAACTCCCATGATTCCCCATGATACAGCTTTAGATCTGCATGGATAACATTCAGAATGCAAGAGTAGGTTATTGGGTGTGCATTCCATTTACAGTTACAGCAATATTTTAGAAAAAAAACCCAGAATTCTGTGATTTTAAAGTGATTATTGCATTTACGCTGCAGTCATGTCACCAAGCAATGACTATACACATTGCACCTGTGTGCATCAAAACTGGGTGGTCTGTTTGGTGCAAAGAGACAGAAACAAACTCATAAGACACTCACCTCTGGACTTGAGTTCCACCTTGAGAGCTCTGATTTTGGATGTTATTTCATGGATCATTTCGTGAACACGTTCACACATCTGTCTAGGATTCTTGACGAACTTCATGGCATTAATAAGGGATATACTGGACGTTGGAGCCAGCTGAAGGAACATATGCCTTTATTAGAAGCAAGCAAGCTTTACAAGAAAGAATGAATTTTGGACAAGTTCTGATTTAAACATACTGTCTCACAAAACACTCCAATATCATATCGAATAATATATTTTTAGAATGGACAAAGAAATCTTTTCTCACCTTCTCATAATCTTCATCAGAGAAATCTTTGTCTTCATTAAAAATATCTTTCAATTTTTCCTTGACACTGGAAACAGAAGTATTAAAACATTATTGCAAAACACATAAAAAAACTGACATAGTAACTTTGAGAAAACAGTCAGGATATTGTTCTCAGTAAGGAATGAAGAACGTAAGAAAAAGATAAAACAAACTTAAGGGTAGTGCAGAATATAACTGATGGTAATTTATTAAAATGAATGTCAAGAATACAAGTAGAGGTATGACAGAATGAAAGGATCAACCAAAATATAGATAAAGGGAAAATAAAGAGAAATAAAGCAGAAATAAACAATACAATATGTCCAACAACTGATCAACTCCACAGATGTATGACCAAGAGATAGAATATTTTCAAATTCCTTCTTAAAGTATCTGCTTCAAATACTGCATGTCTAGAACTATCACTAGCTGCAAGTAAACAACCCTCAAATGGACTAACCTAACTAGAAGGTGCATTGTGGGTAAAGCACAGCAAGAGTGGTCAAAAACAGCAACAGTGGTGAATTAAGGTAACAGTAAAACTACTGCTTACTGTGTGTATCATTTCAAGGCATTTTTGTAAGTTTCAAACAGCAATAGCAAACACACAATTTCCAAAAGGTATACACATGGTATTGGTTGTACAAGCTTTCCATCAAAACCAAAACATTTAATCTGGGAAATGCAACTAGCATAAGCAAATCCATGCAGGCTTTAGCAGGAGGTCATTGGAAGAACTAGAAAATGTTATCTATCAGAATTTATTACAAAGATAAACTGAGTTCAAAGGTAGTAATATGAATTTACTTTTCCTGATAATGCATTATCATATCAGGGAAATGTAGTATTGATATGCTGGAAATTTCACATATAAAGTTTATGCATTTTTTCAGCTAAACTGGTAGGCTCACAAGACCTGATTAAACAAGCAAACACAAATGAATGAATAAATGAATACAACAGAAATAGAAATAAGGACCAAATGAATATAATAAATAAGGCCAGAGGTGAAGAAGAACTGTTGGAAATCTCATGTTTAGTGGAAAAGAAATGACACTTAAATAATCCAAAATGTACAAATGGGGCTGCCTCTCATGATGTAGATACATTGGTCATTAAGTGACAATCTCATTAAAGTCAGGTCTTAGTTCTTGCTACTGCTGAACAAAGAAAACCGAGAAATCCTTAACAGGTCACATCAGAACAACCTTTACATCAACCAATAAATACATCTATTAACAGATCAGGAAAGAAACAATCGGAAAGTGTCTTCTAAAGTGTTCGAGTAATTCAGTCAAAATTATTGTCTATCTCTTACTTCAATGGGATAACCATTTGAATGGAACAGATGCTGCATAGCCAATGGGAAATGCTGTCATACAACATCAACCATACATTAGACTTTCCCGAAAGTACTTTTGTTCATTTTCCTCATTCTGAATTGAAAACATCAACATATATTTTGGAATGGAATGGAAGTCGTGAGTTTGAAACTTGTGCCATATTGCTTGAAAAAGCCACTTTTTGATTGGCAAATATTGACTATCAGTTAGTCATTTCAGTGGTCGGTCAAATTTTGTAATAGGTCATTCTGACATGACCTGAAATGGGATGTCCCAAGATCTTTGTTTCACAGAAGCATGCACTTAGATGAAATATTAATGAGATTGTTTGAGTAGTAATAAATATCCTACATACACCCTCCTAGGCTCATACTGCACTGCCCTTATTCACCAACAAAGCATATAATGCAAAATGCAAGTATCACATAATGTCATGTGTTTACACCAAACCAACAGTGTATACATAAAAGGGAATATGCATACATGAACTGTACCTAAATTATTCCAAAGATATGGGCAAGAGTTAATCAGATAAATAATTAAAACAACTTCCACTTCCATGTGACCTGGTAAAGCTATTTAGGATAGGTCTCTAGCCATATCGAGTGATGCATGTGTATTGTGTATGGTATGTCTATTGTTCAGCATGTCATGACAATAGCAAGGATATAACTAGTATCCAGTAGAACTGAGTATCTTTTAACATCTTGCAAGATGGATTGATGATGTCACTAGAATATCTTACTGCACAAATAGTATGAAAATATGAAATAAAATTCTAAAACCTGTGCCTTCTAGGGACATCTACATGCAACTTATTTCCAAACACAAAATTTGCCCAAACTGATGACATAAGTGCAGCGGACATGTAACCCATTACCACCACATCTTAATGTTCTGCCATGCTTACAAGCAGGGCTATAGAACTTCCACCATTACAGTAGCCAACTGCATTAGTACATGTACCATTTAAAGAGTATCACAATCTCACAAATTGATGATTCAAGTATCTTCTGAACCTCAGTAAAAATTACTGGTACAATGTAGGTACTGGTGAAACATTATGGCCCTAGTATGTGATCTATACATACAATATATCATTGGAAGGTTTCATTTTAAGATGAACCTATTCATCTGTTGTAGCATCAAGAATAATGATATGCCTACTACTAATTGAGTAGTTCCTGTTCACCAGCATCTAATTGCTCAAATAGTTTTATAAGTAATGCAACAAGAAACTTGAAACTAGTTGTTTGGGAAGTCATGTAGTCAAAACAAAAAGAAGGAAAGTCTACTGTTAGAGGACTCTTGCTTTACAGATGATAAACTGAATTGTGGCCTGTTAATGGCTCACTTACTCACTGCGATGTTCATGTTCATATGCAGATTGAAAGTAAACTGGAATATTCTTATGTACATAGTTGCTTGGTGTGTGAGTGAGTGGATGAGTTTAGTTTTACGCAGCACTCAGCAATATTCCAGCTATATTGCAGCGTTCTGTAAATAATCCAGTCTGGACCAGACAATCCAGAGATCAATAGCATGAGCTTCGATCTGCACAACTGGAACCGATGAAATGTGTCAACCAAGTCAGCGAGCCTGACCACCCAATCCTGTCTTACGACAAGTATGGGTAATGAAGGCACATTCTAACCCGGACCTTCACAGGTCTGTTTGGTGTGTCATGACACTAGTAGATGTTTGGCTACTATAATACTTGGCATTACTTTGCATAGCTGTTGCATCTCTTAAGGATTTGAACATGCACAGAAACTGTTACCATGGTTTTCAAATGTTACTGAAAGTAAAAGGGCTTGACCAGTTTCAAAAGGATAAAAACTCCTACTGTGTTTAGAAGGTGTGCTTAAGCACAAATCCATATGTAACCATCAGAACAGATTGTTTTTGTGTCACATACAAGGAGTGAACTTTGTTTAAGTTTAAAACAGTTTTAGTTTCTTTTTCTCAGATATTTCATAGTGTCCCACCTTATGAGAGGATAGGCTGAAATGATACAGGCCAAGTCAAGTATATTGTTGAAATCATGGTACATGTAAGGAGCTAATAATCAGGCTAATATTCAAACCCATGAAGGATGCTGACATGCCTTGGGAAAACAGATACAAGGGAAGATACTCAGCATTGTTCTGTCAGTGCCTTTACAAATAGTCAGACCTCTTAGTCTGTTTTTTTTTCTGTCATAATAGTATACTGTGTAAATACCTTACACAAACATGTCTCTCGGGTATATTTCAAACAAAATGTAATGTAAAACTGCAAATGTTCTGAGACGCAAACAAATCCTGCAGAATTTAAAACTGAAACTGAAGGGTCAGAGTAAATTTACATAACAATAGCCAATGTGAAGATACTGTATCGATCAGAGTTTAATGAGAGCAAGTGACAAGACGTTTGCCAAAGAATGTTATTCTAAATATTGCTTCAAATATGAATTCTTGCATTGTGGAAACTCCTAACTGTGTATGGCAATTACTGACTATTACAAAGTGTTCATCTGAAAGTAAAAGGGTACATGAAATCACAATTTTATATATTTTATCATGATAAAACAGGGTCTACAGCTGAATGGAATTATCTGAATTTGGAGAGGGATGGGAATATTACTGAGTTAGCCACACTTCAGACCAAACTGTTGAGTGGCATTAGAGGGTGGAGAGCTGATTGTTGTCAGTTAGTGTAGCAGTTTAACAGGGTCAGAACCATACAGTCATGGAGTGCAGTGCTTACAAAGCCTGGTGACTGTTCCACCTGGAAGAAATAAGCCTACTTAATATCCAGCATGGGAGGATTTCATACACATGGGAGGTATTATGCAGTGCCATAGCACTGTAGCTCACCTTTTTAAGACATTTTCACTTTAACAGTTCAAGAAGATGAAAACATTTACTTAGGTCATGTCACTATATTGTTATCCTGCATCTTAACCACCGTGACGTTGTTGTTATATTGCTAATAGCGGCTTAAAAACATACTCACTGTATCTTAGGGTAAATTAAAAGTCATTTTGAACCGTAAACAGCAAAGTTTGTAGTGTCATATTCCTGAAAAGCACTATACAGTGATTAATGTATTACATCATTAGATGTCCCACAGTCAAATATATATATCACAAATCCAAGAAAAAAATGGATTCATAAATTCGAGTCTGGATTCATAAATTCCAGAAATTGACATCATGTTCATCAATCTACGTAATTTGGATACCATGACTTAGATGAACCAAGTCAGTAAGTCTGACCACTCGATCTTTGTCTGCCGCCTCTTACGACAAGCATGGTTTGCTGAAGACCAGTTACTTCTAATCCAGATCTTCACAGGTCTTTTAGTTCTTTGAACGGTAAGCATCACAACATCAGTCCTGTGGTTTCAGCTTAATTATTGTTAGTTTTGATACAAATACTAATGAAAGAAACAAATTAAACTAACTTTGGTGCTATCATTGGTATGAGCATTCATGAGGTTTTGGTTTATTGATGGAACAGTTTATCTTCTTGAACAGCAATATCTGACAAACAAGCCATAACAAATGTCTGCCCAGACCTTAGGTCCAGGTGAGCTCAAAATGAAATGCAAACCACAGACAAATAGTTGGAATAACTTGATCAACAGAGTGATAAGCAAGTTGAATTGTCATCAAGGAAATTAGTCAATACATGAAACCTACAGGTGAATACAGCATACTCCTTTTATAGCACCTGCATGAGAAAGTCCCTCCACAGAATGTAATGGTTTTGAAAATTTGAAAGATCAAGAATTTAGACAACATATAAAATCTGTATCTAAAGCTTTACCCATTATGCAACAACTAAAATCAACCAACTAAATCATATTCACAAGCAGATACATGACATAACATACGGTAATTCATATACAACATATTACTATAATTTTGGAATTAGTGACACAACTCTATCAAGTATTATAACTGTCATGGTCAGACTACTGGCCCATGGGTATCTACCTAAATCATTACATTTAAAGGAAATCAACTAAAACTGATAAGCACAAGGTAGAACATCTAGAAATGGGGTAGGCAGATTTAGAGAGAGGGATAGAAGCACAACACATGTTTTTGCCTCATGGAAATATGGGATGTATATGAGAAGCTAAGTTTGTAATGGAGGTTGCAAACCTTTACAATGTGTACTGAACAAGTCTCAAGAAAGTCAGGATTTATGTAATCCTAACAGTACTAGGTTGAACTCTTTGAAAAGTATTCAGCAACTTATTACACGTTCTTATGGATTCTGATCATGAATATTACAGCAATGTAAGTGCAGACATGCTATATCTTGTTGCTAGTACTATCCTACAGACTACTGTTATTAGTTTTGTCTCATACATGATGCATCAAACATCTTGAATCCAAAAATAAGCATTCCCTAAACAATCATATTGAAACAATGCCAACCCTCATCCATATAAAAATGACAAATAATTTCAATACTCAATTCATTCAAAATTGAAACCATATACAGTAAAACAAGCATTACCATCATACTCCTCTAGTATAAAAAGTAAAAAGTAAAAAGCAAATACGCTCAGTCATTGTTGAGTCTATGTTATTTCGTGCAGTTTGTTTGCTGTTTCTGCTACAAGCATACTTAACTTTAGAAATTGCTGAATATTAATTCTGTTATTATGGTAACTACCAGATTACTTGAAGCCGTTCTAATCAGAACATTCAGATGTAAGAATTTGCAGTTTTCTCTCTCATGCTGAGGGTTTTAACAGATTGCAAGCACAGAAACGAGTACATACACAAGCTGGTACTTGGATTCCTTCCCCTCACTGTCCAAGAGTCCATTATTGTTGGCACTCTTCACCATCTGCATCAGTATTGGAGTTAATTCCCCTTCAAGAGCCAGCAAACCCTGAAATGCATTGTTACAGGTAATTAAGACATGGATTCCATCCCTTTCACGACCAAGGAACTTGCTAAAAGTTTCACTTTTAACTAAACAGAACCTATGCCATGAATCCCATAACTTTTTAGGCTTAATTTCAAACACTGCTTGAATATGGTGTGACAGACCAAATGTCATAATTAGGACAACTCTGGGATTCAAATAAACCATTACTTGATACTTAACTAAGGGATGCAACTGCACAATGTAACCCCATAAACTATCAGTTGCCTCTCTATGTGTGCAGTGCCAATTCTCCCAATTCACTGACCTATCTAATTGTCTTACAGCATGGGTAATGACAGGTTGTCTGTCAACACTATTTATATGAGGATCCAGAAGCAGATGCTTGAGTGACATCCCTCTTTAAATTAGACACCTAATGTGCTAACTTATCACTTGTGTTTGTCCACTCCCAGAATTAAGTATAGAGTACACACCGCTATTTTTAAAATCCTGGATCCACATCTGCATTTCTTAACTGTGCTGCATATCAACTACGTTAAATATAAGGAAAAATCTAAAAAAATCAATGTTTTAGTGACCTTCCTCTCTTGATTGATGATGGAGAACTGACCAAAGAAAGATGATATTTGACAAAATATCCCTCTTTAAATTAGGACACCTAATGTGCTAACTTATCACTTGTGTTTGTCCACTCCCAGAATTAAGTATAGAGTACACACCGCTATTTTTAAAATCCTGGATCCACATCTGCATTTCTTAACTGTGCTGCATATCAACTACGTTAAATATAAGGAAAAATCTAAAAAAATCAATGTTTTAGTGACCTTCCTCTCTTGATTGATGATGGAGAACTGACCAAAGAAAGATGATATTTGACAAAAATGGAAGATGATAAAATCTTGATTCAGATGCTGTAAGGAACAGCACTTCTCAGCAGTTTCGTCAACAAGATTCTGAACAAGCTGTATTATATTTACCTTGGCAAAGGCCGCTGCAGTCATCTGAACTCGACCTTCGTCCGATGCATATATCTTGAGGTCATGCCTGAAGGTGCTGTGAAGTCGCAAGAAACCCAACCCAGGAGATTCGAACTGACCTATCATACCAGAAAAATACAGCATAGCGTAGGGATTAATGAATAGTTTTCATATTAGTCCAAATTTTGAAAGACCTATGAAACGTACCTGCAGGATAACATTAACAACATAACTCCTTGCAAGCCTTAGTCTGTGTTCACGTTATCAATAATACTAAACAGGCAGACAACTATAAAAGCTGAGTGAGAATTCCTGACCATGTGTCAACACTGTACCACTTAACCAATAATTCAAATTTTGACACACTTTGAGAGGGTCAAGAATGGATATATTTCAAGACAGAATTGATGTCATTAACTTGAAAATAGAAAATCTACAAATTACCATGAGGAAAGTTACCTTGTTCTTTCTGCCATTTGAACTTCAAAGATGCACACACTTCCAATAAAAAACAACTATTATCACACTATTGTATTTCAATTTAGCCAAATGGCCATGCTTTTCAGTGAAATATAGTAGTGTTAATAATGCAGAGATTAGAATAACATAAATTGTTACAGTGATGCGTCAGAATCAATCATGTCAGTAATTCTTGATCAGTCTTAAACTAAACACATCAAAGTTTCCCTCAACCACATAAGTGAATTATGGGAAAGGTGGTTAATCTGCTTTAGCTGAGGGTAAGATATTCTACTATGACATTTTAGATTCCTGCATTCCGATTGGTCGAAAAGGAGTTGATGACGCATTGTCATGACGTTCACACAATATTGGCCCTCACTCAAATGAACTGATACAAAATGTCCATTTGAATAATCTTCACACATCGCAAAGGGGTGGTGGGGTAGCCTAGTGGTTAAAGCATTGGCTCGTCACGCGACGAAGACCCGGGTTCGATTCCCACATGGGCACAATGTGTGAAGCCCATTTCTGGTGTCCCCCGCCGTGATATTGCTGGAATATTGCTAAAAGCGGCGTAAAACTAAACTCAGTCAGTCAGTCAGTCAGTAACTGAACGACTGCCATTATAAATATTAGTCACCACTAACCAATATAAGGTGATTATACAGATATGTAAAATAGATACTGAGGACAATTTGCAGATTGCTGTAGACTATCACTGTTTGTTACATGCACAGCCATGGATCCAGTCAAAAGTTAACGTTGTGCTTTTCTCTGTTAGTTCACTTGGATGGTGGATATTTATGAAAGAACGTGTCATTAAACTGACTGTTATTTTCAAGTGTATGCTAAATTGCGGTGGTCAAGATTGAATTATCTGAATAATAAAAAATAGGAATGTGGAAGCAGTTTGTCAGTGTTGACATCATTTGAAGAATAGTGTCTTAAAAACATATGAATGCCAAAATATGCTGTTTTAGGCTTATGGCCATCAGTGACATGGTTATGTTACTGACATTGCATCCAGTAGAAAAGTTGTGTATCATGTAAACTTAACATGAAAAAAATAGATCAAAGCTTGACATGTAGGAGTGGAGTTGGTGCATGGGAGTTCTCACATCACTCATTCTATTCTACCCTCTCAAGCAAATTATCTATTTCACCTTCGGTTGCTATTTGGAATAGAATTAATAACAATGGTACCCCTATGTAAGTACTAAGGTAAGTATGACATACACCTCCTACTATATAAAAGAATAGAATGAATAACTATGCTATCTCTACGTAAGTAACAAGGTAAACCTTGCCTACACCTTCCTGCTATCTTATTAGAACAGAATTAAGAACTATGCTATCTCTATGTAAGCAACAAGGTAATCCTGGCCTACACCTTCCTGCTATAGAATTACGATAGAATTAAGAACTATGCTATCTCTGTGTAAGTAACAAGGTAAGCCTGGGCTACACCTTCCTTCTATAGAAATAAATTAAAACAAGCATTGTCACTAAGGTGACATAATCCCCCGCCGCAAATTATCAAATCAAACTTAAAAAGTAATGAAAGTTTAAGATGAAGTTAAATGTCAACAAGTCAAGCTCTCTTGATATCTTGCTCTTTAGTTGTTCAAACACACAAATATGTTCAAGGCTGACTTTGACCTTGACATGAATGTCATAGTGTATGAAATATGCAAAAATGGTACTAAAGAAATTGCTTATTGAAAAACATTCAAGGGAAGTCTTGAAAGTCTATGAAGAAAATCCAGTGAATTCAGGTTAACATGCTGAAATCTTCAAAGTGTCGCAGTGACCTTGAAAATTATGTGAAGATCTCCAAATTGACTGGGCCCTGCACCTTCATTAGATGAAGCTTGGTGTCAAATATGAAGAAAATCCAGTGAATGGTTCTTGAGGTATCTCGCTGACAAGCATAACATGCAGGTTAATATGCTGAAATCTTCATGTGTCACCATGACCATATTGAAAATTAAGTGAAGGTCACCAAAATCGACTGGGCCCTGTGCCTTCTCTAGATAAAGCTTGATGTCAAATATGAAGAAAATCCAGTCAATGGTTCTTGAGGTATCTCGCTGACAAGCATAACATGCAGGTTAATATTCTGAAATCTTCAAAGTGTCACCATGTCCTTGAAAATTAAGTGAAGGTCACCAAACCTGACTGGGACCTTTCTTATACTGTTATGAACCTAGGTACCAAATAAAATGGTTCTTAAGATATTCCAATTCATACGTACGAATGGACGGACGGATGGACGGAGCCTAATACTATATCCCCCGCTTCGAGCTAAGCGTGTCGGGGGATAATTACGAACTATGCTATCTCTGTGTAAGTAACAAGGTAAGCCTGGGCTACACCTTCCTTCTATAGAATTGGAATAGAATTAAGAACTATGCTCTCTCTACGGAAGTAACAAGGGAAACATTGCCTACACCTTCCTGCTATAGAATTATATTAGAATTAAGAACTATGCTAACTCTATGTAAGTAACAAGGTAAGCCTAGCCTACACCTTCCTACATGGCTAAACTAAACATGCACTGACCCTGACCTCCGGGGTATAAAGTGCGGAAAGCCTTTCCTAGATCTTCTGCTTGGATCTTGCCTGCAGGAGTTAGCTCCCCTTCCCACTTGACAATTAGTAGAAGGGATGGATCACGTGGCACATCATCTATGGAAAACAGAAAAAATAGAATTGATCTCATTTGCTGTTTGAATATACCAATGACTTATTCTTATTCTTCGACTTTTGATAGGACAAGTTGACATGAAGTATTATTATACTAAAGTAAAATACAAGGTTGAATGGAGAAATCACTCATTTGGCTACACTATTTAAGTTTAGTTTCTTTGTAATGTTATCTCGGGTACCTTAAAAGAAAATTATACATCAGCTTATGAAGCTCAATATCTATGACATGATAATATTCATCATGTTATATAGCATGACCAGAAATTATTGAGAATTTTAGGAATATGTTTAATTGGATTTCTAGTATAAACAACCTTGACCAGCTATCAAGTGCTTGGTTTCATTCAAGAGAGACAACTCCGTTAACCCTTTTTCATTAGTTTGGGAAGAGTTATCCCCCTTTGTTTACTTGCTAGCAGACGACATTTTCAGTGATCCTCAGTATGGATGATTTAGAGAAGAGGAAGTTGATTTTAGAGTATTATAACAAGGACATCAGATCAGCTAAAGTGATTTCAAGTAGAACAGGCATCCCTTTGTCCACTGTTTATCGTGTTTTGAAAAATATTACAAATGGATATGGTATTGAGCACCAGGGAGGCGCAGGTAGGCCTCAAAAATTGACTGTCGGTGACAGGAGGCGGCTTGGTATTCTTGTTTCTAAAAACAAACGAAGGACTTTAGAAAACTTAAGGCTGGATATGATTGATAGAGGAACTGTGGCTGTCTGTAAGGAGACAATTAGAACTGAGCTGCATTCAATGGGTTGGCAGAAAAGTCAAGGAATTCCATCACCGATCATGAAACCTGAACAAAAGGAGCGAAGGTTGAACTGGTGCTTACAGCATAGAAATTTTAACTGGGACAATGTGATTTTCTCAGATGAAAGTTCTGTGTGGCTGTTTCCTAATACACAGAAATTCTGGACCAAACAAACTGAAAAACCTTTGTATCAGCGCCCAAAGTACAGTCAGAAATTTAACGTGTGGGGTGGCATATCTGTGTTAGGGAACAGCAGCCCTCTGTGTATTTGAAGGGAATATGAACAGTGAGCTGTACACAGATATGCTCGAGGGACATTTACTTCCATCTGCTCACGTGTTCTATGGAAATCTTTGGATTTTCCAGCAGGACAACGACCCAATACATCGTTCAAAGCATTCACAGGCCTGGTTTCGGACCCAAAATATGACATTATTAGATTGGCCAAGCTATAGCCCTGACCTAAATCCAATAGAAAATGTTTGGGGACTTATGAAGGAAAGTGTCAATAAGAAAAATCTGACAAATATTGCTGAAATGAAAGAAGAGGTGGTCCGATATTGGGACAGCATGGACCACGACTTTCTAACTTCTTTGATCAGTAGTATGCCCCGCCGCATTGAAGCCTGCATGAATACCCCACTCGGACACATTATACGGACTCCGACTGATCAATCCTTGTTGTACCCATTAATGCTGAGCGCCAGGTTAGGACCAACAGGTAGTGTTGGGAATTGGTTAAAATCTCATAATTGATGATTGGTTCATTACCACCGATCAATCATCGAAAATAATTGGTTAGCGTCATTTATGAAATTTGTTAATGCACAAAAATATAAGGAAAAAACATGTACTTATTTGGGGTTTTGGGGGCAAAATTTCACATCTTTAAAGGATGACTAGTATGTTAGGAACATAAATTTCTTGGTGTCTTTAAGATAAATTCATTGATGACTTGGAACAAGCTTGTAGTGCTTATGAAATGTAACAGACAAAACCAACCTTGTGAAAAATATTGTTGATGAAAACAAGTGTTCCAGAATTGTTTGTGTTCGATTATGAGAAAACATGATCGATTGCTTGGTCATTTAGTCACTGCGACCAATCTTCGATTATTTCAATTAATCGGACTACCACTACCAACAAGTACCATATTTTAGCGTCTTTTGGTATGACATGGCGAGGATCGAACCCATGACCTTCTGCTCTCCAGGCGGACGCTCTAAACACTACACCACGGAAGTGGTCTCATTTCATAAGAAAGAATAAATCTTAATTCTGATGACAGTGCTGAATGTATGTTATTTGGGCATTAATATTTACATGTATTAACTTCGGATGAAGCGAGATTTTTTCTCTTTCTTAGGCAGTTTAAGTGGCAAAAGACTATATTTAAAGAACATTTGATTTATTTATTATTTATGAAAAGTTAAATTGCTGGTTAAATCATGAACTTGTGTTCCCTTGTATTTTGATCCATCAATGAATATGAGGTAAGGCAAATAACAGTAATTCAAAATAATATCTCTTCTATTTTTTTTATCATCATGATTATGGCTAGTTTCTCCAGGGTATAGAACCACTAGCAGTAGAATAATGAATGTATTAGAATACACAAAACAAATGGCTACAGATATTGAGTTATCAGGCTGGCAGGGCAGAGAGCTTGTTAATAGTTTTTCAAGAGCGAATGTGACCAGTGTGCGTAAATCTCCAGTCACTGGCCCAACTGGCTAGTGAATTTTCATGGGGTCATTTTGTAAATATATCATGCTCTCGACTTGTTAAGTTATAATACACTTCTAAATCATGCAAGATTATGGCCTGATAAGAATTCTCATCATATAACAGCTTAATGATGAAACCTGTGTCATGCAAACAATATCTTATTTTCATCTATTTTTGTAATCTTTGGTCAGTTTCTACATTCAAATTTCGGACTAGTGAATTATTTTATGGGCTAGTAACTTTCAGGCATAGCTAGCCCGACTGGCCAACAAAATTTGGAAACTATTTCGCACACTGATTATGTCTAAAGTCAAATTGAAATATATCAGGTGATTTTTATGACTGTATCAAACCTGTTCATTGACATGTTGACCAAATGTAACAAAGTACCTTTTATAGGTTATCAGAAACATTTGTAAGCCATTATAAACAGAAAAATAGCTAGTTCTTGAAGCATCTTAAAATGTTAAAGCATGAAATTAAACTACTATTCATGTCACAACAAATTACCCATGTGATTTAATATATCATCACTTTCTATTAAAATATTTAGAACTCATGAAAGCAACAACAGAAGCTTGCAAGACAATTTGGTCTTCATATATTCAGAAACTGAACAGAAACAACAAATGTTATGTCAAAGAAAGTCTGAATAATAATCCTGATAAATAATTTGTTGTGACAACATGTACAATGGCACAAATCATGAAATCACATAAACAAAAAGACATATAAAAACATGAGTTCTTTGTGGAAACCTGTAAATCAAATAAAGTATGAAAATGAATGCATTAAAGGTGCCGATGACAAGGATACATGATGATGTCAGCCCACTGCAAACAAATCCTCACTACACAGCAAACACTACTGTCATACCATTCATTGTTAGCGAGGTAAGTTGATTATCTACAGTCAATACAACACTAAGTTACTAACTAACTATATCATTCAGTGAAGAGCTGCAGACATATATAACAAGCACCTGAGACGAAAAACCTTGACCACCCAGGATCACAATTATTTCATAAAAGGAAACAATCTTTTGTTTCAAAGCTGCAGTCAGTAGACATACATATTCGTCACTTTACAAAATGTTCAGTATAACATGTGAAAAACAATCCTTTGCTGTTCTGACAAAGGTACATCCCAGCCAAAATACTTATGCTGCTTTTTTAGCATCCATGTAATGTGACAGGCAGCTAAAGTCCTCTGCTGGACTTGTTATCCCAAATTTAAGGTGTGGGGGTTATGGGTCTAATATCAACAATGCAAGAAAGTATGGAATAGAAAACACATTGAACAGTGGAATTGGTATACCTTGGACACCTATTAACAGAATCAGTGGTACCTATGTGCATGTGGGTTGGGTAAAAAGTCTGATTCAAAATGGGCTAAAGAAATCTTTTGGTAGCAGAGATTGATATGAGCCTTCACAGATCATAAAAGGAAACATCGAGGCAACTTAACTGGATATTAATAACATATCTAATGATGGAAAGGGGGAAACTCTCTGTAAACAGACTATCCAGATAAAAATGAAAAGAGTGAATGAGTGAGTGAGTGAGTTTAGTCTTACACTGCTTTTAGCATTATTCCAGCAATATCAAGGGGGGGGGACACAAGAATGGGCTTCACACCATGTACCTATGCTGGGAATCGAACCCGGGCCTTTGGCATGACAAGCAAACGCTTTAACCACTAAGCTACAAGAATGTGATACAGCAGACAGTGGAATGTGGGCGAGTGTAGTGTAGAGAATATTATGTACTGTTAATGATGCTGGAGAAGATTTATACTTCCAGATGATAGTCAAGCTGTAGTTTATTCCAATAACTGTGTTTACATTTGGAAAGACAGTGAAATCAGTCAAGTGTGCCCACTAATGAAAGGAGTGAATGAGTGAGTGAGTATGGTTTTACGCCACTTTTATCAATATTCCAGCAACATCAGAACATGTGGAACTGTATTCCACAATTCCAACTAGGAACCTTGAAGTCATTTATATGAAGGGTAATCTTACCATAGTTGGAGGTGGGTATTAAATATTTATTTCAAATGTCATCATTCAATATACACACTTTTGTAATGTAGTGACAAATATATATGTCCCATGACTGTGTAAGAGAAACCTTATGTTCCAAATCATGGTTTTCATGAGAAATAGAAAAAACCCAACAATATAATGAACAATAAAATTTCAGGGCTGCACTTCAACATCTCCAAAATACTTACCTTAACTGCAACTGATGTCATCACCATTATATTGGAATCTATTTAGCATAGGGTCCGTGATGGGTTTCCATCAAACATGGAAAAGTGAGCTACCCTTGAAGTTGGAAGTTTGGTGTATTGTATTGCTATTCATGCAGTGACGTTTTAACAAACTCAGAACAACCACACTGATTTAACAGTCATAATACTGTTCCTGATGTTTCAAAATGTTTTAGGAAACCTTTAAAGCTTAAACCAGTCCAATCACAAATAAACTT